ATAGAAAAGGAGATAATGGGCATCCTTGACGGACACCACTGGTCGTCATCAGTTCAGATGACAGTAACTAAACTACAACGAGACAAGGTGAAATTACGTATGGAGATCAACTCTCAATGACATAGAACTGATAGATACACATGAAATCAAGGTGTCGAAATTCATCATTTTATGATACTAAATGACCTCAAAAGCTAAGTAGAAGCAAGATACACATATTGGTGCAGTTCAAGCTAAATACACTTTAAAATACAATCGTTAACACTCTTTAACAAATGGTTTATATGTCATGATAGAAACCCAATCAGTCAGTTTACACTACTTCACAAGGCTAAGATTTTTAATGTATGAGGATTTAGTGCATGTCTAAAATTGTGTATACCTAGCTGTTGTCCGTTTTATTTCTGTCACAGTCATTGTAGCCGATCAGCATTCGCCTCATGTGATATATATGCTCTAATTAAAATCAGTAGCCTTTCAATACAATAAAGAGGAAAGATCATTTTACCGATCCAAATAATAATCATAATACTGCAATTAATGAGAAGGAAAAGTAATTACCTTAGGATTGTGGGAATAAGTTACATGTTCCGTTAAAAGTTTGTGTTCCGTAGATACTACTTGACATTTCGAGCACCAATAGATGTGACAACGGTAAACCATAGGTAATGGACTTCCGGATTCTTGTCTACGATTTCGGGCAAAATTTTTTATACCAGGACATGCAGCTGGGTGCATCAAAAAGTAGTTCCATCGAACAGTTGTTAGATCACAATAAGGGCAACGAAGGAGAAAGACGAATGGTGGAGACAGATCTGTACATAATCTGTTCACAATAGGAAGGTGGTCATCTGTAGACAATGAAGTACTGTAAGTCTTTGAGCCACTATCTGTCTTGCTCACATGACCACAAATTAACTGTAAAAGAGTTTTTTGAAAATTAGATAAGGTCTTTGTTATACGAAAAAAATCTAAAAAATTGTATTAATGCGGAATGCTCTAAACAAAAGTTACTGGTGTGGGTTGAATGTTTATCAGTTCTCATATTATCATTTTATTTCCCCTATTTAAAAATATTAAGAGCTTAAGTAATGCAAAGGTAGAGTTTTGAAAATTTACTACGTTAACTAGAACACTTTTGCCAATTTAAAAGGACTTAAAACAAAATATCAGGTTGGTAGCTTTATAGAATATCAGCAAGGGATTTTTTCACATGGATATCAATCCCAATGAACTACAAAAAACATTTTACAGGATTACGCTGCAATGGACACCATGGAACACTATGTATATACCGAAGACATCTGTGGCAAATGACAAGCGAATCTTTTACATTGGTGCTGAGATTTCGTCAACGCCGATCACCCAACTTTTATCTGAATGGGATGTAAGCAAACTAAAACAGCAGGATGTGATGGTATGACTCCAGTGGTATTTAAGGATGGTGGTGATGAATTACTGGCTAGATTAACTAAGGTATTAGCTAGCATATGGAATTCCGAGTCCCATGGGAAAGATGTAGGTTGTTAGTCAACCGAATTTGTGAGAAAGAAAGTACTGTTTTTGTGATGATCACAGTAGAGTCGACTCAATTAAGATTATCTAAGTTTTGTAGTCCTACGAAGACTAGTTAAGGCTCAGAAAAAATGCACTCGAAAAAGCCAGATTGGTTTCAGTGCAGAACGGAGGTCTATTGAACACATATTCAGGTTCTGGGATAAACATACTTTACCTGAAGACTGCATTTCACTTTGTTGTTCAAGAGGTGCCATGGTAATGTCTGGAGGTGATGTAGCGTTGAAAAAATATGTCCTACTAATCAAGACACACTAACTGAACTCAGGCAGCGAGAGCATATGAAGAATTATCATAAGAAGTTAACAACCAGTAGTGGTCCATTTGGGATATCCACTGTCCAAATTCTTTAATTTCATGATAGCGGTAGTAAGGTTAGTAGCTATGGTCAAATTTAATGTCACAGATAAAATCACTGCAAAATTTATGCACAACTGGTCGATCAAAGAACGTGTACTGTGTAGCAGTTCGCTTTGTACTACTTTATGGCCACGTCTTGGAGATCTAGTGGTGCATGTTTAGTCCAAGGGTGAGATTGTGTTTAGTTAATGTAGCACCATATTTAGATAAGAGCTGCAGTGGCGTCAGGATGTTACAAATGTTATCTCAGTGGATACTACACCGTTGGCTATATAAGCTGTCCTTAAGATCGATTAGCACAAGAAGTGAAATCACGGAATAATGCATGACTGCATTAGATTAGTATTTCTTAAAATAACACAAAACAGAGAACAGTTTGAGAGGTGGTGCAGCTAAAAGTTATGGAAGGACAGACAACTCAGTCAAATTTAGTGGAGGACGCGCCCCAGTTACATACAGTAAATAACTAGCCTTTGAGTATACTTAGGTGGATGCTTACCCGTTTAGTTCCATTTTCTCTCTACATTATATCTGTTAAGTGGAAAGTTACCAGGTGATAATTATCATGTTTAGGGATAAAACATCACGAAAAAGTAAGAAACTCACCTCGGAAGTCACCTGAACTAACGGGTGTAGAGATTTGGGATGCTTTAGTTTTATGTGATCAAAAAGAAGTGTTCTCGATGGTGACTTCACAAAACATCCTGGGAAAGTACAATGCACCAGAGATCGAGAATAAGATTTTATATGTTTTCCCCACTCTACTAAGGTAGGAAAATCATCCATGCATTGATTACATTGTAACTTGACTGGAGTTGACATTGAGTCACGATGTTGAGTTTCCCAGTGAATTTTCATATGTTGGAAATGATTAGTACAAAATTTATCAGAACATATATTCTCTATTGGGCAAGAGAAAATCCTCAAGGATTTCGAAGATGTACCATTTATCAAGTGTTGGGAAATGTGAATTACTAAGCTGGACCGTTGAATTTTGGAATTACAGTAGAGACATAAATGTGATTTAATATTTGCGTGGTAATCAGTTAGATGAGCATTGAAGATTTCTGGGTCGGAGGTACATGCTCCAGATTTGAGAGAAACATTTAAGTAGCCATTACCTGTTCTCTTATCATGCATACATGTGAAACAGGTAAAGCATCCAGAAGTCGATTCTAACAGCTGAATATTCCTTTTCAGAGACTGACATAAAGTCTTACTATCATGAACCTGGATATCCATTTCTCATAGGTTCGTGATAAGCGCACCTATGTTAAGTAATAAAATAAACGGTACAGTGTATTATTTTCAAAATGAAATTATTTATAGGTTTTTTTTAGATATAAAAAATAAGTGACTCAACAGCCTAACGAACTTTTTCAATTATATTTTATTCTACTCTAATAAACAATGATGGATAGTCATTGTAGTAGACAGATACTGCACAAAAAGTCAAGATGGGTACGATGCTATTATGACCGCATACCATAGGGACAAAAGCTGACGACAAACGGACTAGGTGCAGGCAAAACACTAAGATGATTTAATGCAGGTGTCCGGAATCGCAAACCGCACATTCTAGTTAATACATACAAAATTAAGAAACGAATCATGTTATTGGGAGTGAACAGCTGGATTTTCAATGTAGCACTCAGCAGGGAAGTGCAGCAGTCCAAGTTCCCAAACTGCATAATGCACACGTGAATGTAGGCAAAGAGCAAAAACAAATCCGAAGAAACCACAATAAGGGCTATGTGCGCAAGAAGGAATAACGTGCAGAATGAGAATTAGTAGAAGGGGAAGCTAAGAAAGAGTGGAGGCATTTGAGCTCCTCAAAAAGAGTTTGAGATATGTTACCAACAATCTCAGTTAATGGCTTCGGCGTCTCCAGAAGCCTAGTTAGACAGCTTGCTACTCCTAAAGTGACTCGTATTAACAGTCAGTGACACCTTAGGTTACACGTCCCAGTCATTCCACTCAATGAGGCTTTATAACGTAATCAACTGACTTTGTTTCCTTAACTAACATTATGCTCACTGTGAAATTACCTTGTTAAACAACTTATTTGTAGAACTGGGAAGAGATATAGCAAGATTGTTACAATGTAGATGTATAAGAACAGATTAATTGCAAATATTAGACTAGTGGGAGTATAGAAGCTTCATTGAGCTCTACTCTCAAATGCCACAGTGTTGGAAGTGTTTCCTAACCCCACAAAAAATGTCGCGGCACCAACGGAGAATTCCAACTGGATATTAGTCGGTGGTCTACACATGCATCTTTAAATATTTTCAAGTTGAGTTCTTGAAGCACGCATTCTGATATATGTGTGATCAGTGCTCAAGCACACACGAACATGTAATTTTGTTGTGAAATGTTAAACCTGCAAATGAACAATGCACGCGAAAACAGACGAAGTTTAAAATAAACACATGTGGATTTCTGAATAATTACAGCTGCGGTGAATGATTTTGAAATGTAATTAAATTCTTTATCCTGTCTGGTTAAAAATCACCCCTAATGAACAACATTGCTAGAATCACTAACAAGTACAAGCTGAAAAGGAAACATGGAGAGGCATTAAACCAACAATTACTACGACGTATCATTGGAAATGAAACATAGAGATGGGATATGCAAAGTATATTGGAAAGCTAAAAATGAGTTTCTCTAGACGTATTAGTAATATTTCAAATGAGAAAGTAAAATTTTGGAAAGTGACTAAGGTGAGCACATTAAGTCAAGGGAAATGTCTTACTTTTAATAAAAATATACATTGAGCAACTCATGAAAAACAAGAACGAAAAATTTATCAGCTCACTTCAGAGTTTTTGAATTATTTCCTAGATATCTTAAGTAATATTGTTTTTCTTAAATTCCACATGAGACTTGTAGGATAATACATATTTGCACAAGTTTCCGTGACATCATACCACGCGCTAAAATTCATGTTTTAAACAAAAAACCGAAACCATTTTCAAAACAATAAATTTATCAATTACTAAAAGTTTCAAAATTGTTTTTGAATATTATATCAAAAATTTTGATTATAAACAGTTGTTACTGGCGCCAACTTTAGTTGCTGCGCTGCCGGACAGTTGGTGTGTATGTGAGTTGAAATGTTGGATATGAATAGTGTTTTAACTATACAACGTGTGAATATGTATTGGTAATATGCTTACTATGATTCGCAAACCAAATGGCGATGTACTCATGGATTCTGATGTTAATAGGTAGAGTTACTGAGGTGTACTTCAGAATTCTTTGACTAGGATCATCAACTACTGGTGTTTTAGGCGTCCATATTTTTTTAAAGGCCGAAATAAACAACAAAAGTCAAAGCAGGCAAAAAACTTCAAGACCATGGCTATGTGAGTAAAAGGATAGCAATGTCAAATGCACACATTCACATTAGCCGCAATATATATCTATTGGCTTTAATTTTAAGTCAGTTTTCCGATTTCAACAGACCAGTGATGGGTTTCGAAAATGGTGGAATCCGTTTTGGCACTATTGCTTTTGAAGTAGTACGAAAACTGAGTCAGGGTACATCAATGCTCTCTCACCTTTCTCAATATGACATAAAGATTGACAAATAATGTGCACCTACACAGTATGTTTTCTTTTAGTGTCCTGATATCATATGCATAAAGCAGATACTTCTTTCGGGTCAAATTTCAATGTATGTTACGGGGAGTCACCAGTATTTTTAATTTTCATACTTTCGCAGAATAAGCTTGTCCTAAGATATCTCGGCGGTCAAACAAAAACTTGGCATCAGTCAATGAAATCCACAACAGTTGGTCTAAGCCACGTAGAAAGGTGTAGACTTCCAGGCTGGGATCCTCGGGACGGTAAAAATCTATGGTTGGAAACAATTGGTGACATGGCTCAAAACCGTTCTCAGTGGCGCAGATGCATCCACTCCCTGTGACTTATTATCTTCAATGAAACTGTTTTGTATTTCTTTATTACTCCTTTGTCTCACACCTCTGCTCACTGTTTCTATTATGCTTTTCTTGTACTTTCTTCTCTTGCTTCGCGTGCTACACGGAATGTGGCGACTTGAACTTCCGCACATTTGTGCAAAGTTCTATGTCGAAAACAGACAAACGAACCATCAGTCACATTTTTATTTTGGCATGACTACTGAGTAAGTTTTCAACCCAGGTTTACCTCAGCTAACATTGCGATTTGAGGAGAGCTGTTAATGAGAATCCTTAAAGCATATTCGTATCACTTTATTCAGAGAATATTCCTATCCCTGTAGGTTGGTGTAATTCCTTTAATATTCTTACTTCGATCTCTGCACAATATATATGATTCAATCCACCTTGTATATGGTCTTAATTCCAACGCCACATGTGAACAGTCTTTAAGTATTGTCCTAGTTTCAATATCTGCTAAAATCATACCAATCATTCACAGAGTTTTCTACTTAAGATAATATGCAACTTGTTACACAACATGGTTTTATTACCTACATTCTTCAGCTGTGATTAATCGATATGTGGTTCCGGCTGAACATATATATTCAAGAGCTCTAAATTAACTGATCTCTCTTCCACAATAACTGGATAATACACCATTCATGAGGTATGTATAGTGCTACTTATATTGCTTGGTGTAAAATCTAATTAGATTTTCGGAATAGCTGCCTTCCAAGGGACCAGTTTTATTTATTAATAAGCCATTACCTCTATTCGTACACTCATGAATAGGACCAAAGTACTTTGTATTTGGGTAATTTCATAAAATTATCGGGCCTTAACAGCTGCGTGCTTTCAAGTAGGTGGTACTTTTACCATAATATATACTTTTCGTTCATCTATCCATCAAAAATTCTTGACTGCTATCTGTAGACGAATAAAGACAGCTCAGATTCAGATGATAAGGATAGAAGGCTCTTGTGACCTGTGTTAATCCTTGCAAAAACACCTCTGCAGAGATCTACCTTCTCTTTGAAAGCGTTCACCGATGGAGCTGATACTACTGAATCAGGTAAAGAGTTCCAATCGTTGACCACTCTGTGAGAGAATCTAAATTCTGAACGTATTTTAGTCGTCCTCGGTTTGAACACCTTTTTGCGGTGACCCTGTAAATGCATCCTAGGAAAGAAAAGGTTGGAAAGGTCAGTTCCTAAATCACCCTTAAATATGCGGTATGCTAAAATTAAGTCGCCTCTCTTCCTTCGTTATGATAACGGGAACAGATTTAAATGCTCCATCCTCTTATCATAAGGAGGGTGTGAGATACCACTAACTAATTTCGTTCCTACCCTCTGTACTGTTTCCAGAATATGCGCCTCCTTTTTGAAGCATGAACTCGCCGCTTGTATGCAGTGTTCTAGATGAGGCCTGACATATGTTGCGTGGAGTATTTGGAACATGCCCTCGTCTAATCGTTTGAAAGCCCTTCGAATCGCCCATAGCATTCAAAAAGCTTTATCTGCGGCTGCATAGCAATTTGAAGTTGTTTTCAAATCATTGCTGACAATGATTCCTAGGTCCTTCTGTTCGTTAACATCAGGTAGTTCTGTGTCTCCTAGGGAGTACGACGTATAAGACTTCTGACCTAAGTGCATTACCGCGCTTTTCCTAGCATTCATATCCAAACTCCATAGGCTTGACCACTCAGCTAATATATCTAAATCCGTTTGTAGGGGCGACCTATCCTGATTATTATTTACAGTTTCCATATCTTAATGTCGTCTGCAAATAATAATGAGGACGAAGTAAGAATCCCTGATAATTAGTTAATGTATAATAGGAATAGCAAGGGGCCTAATACAGTTCCCATCAATGAAAACCACGTCCAACTGATGGCTTTTATCTCTGGCCTCAACCCAGTCTTCCCTAGCCAAAGTAGGTTTGTCAGGCAGGATCGTCCTAGTCGGAATCCATGCTGTTCCACAGCCAACAAGCCATGCGTTTCAACATGAGCTAATAGCTGATCCCTTATAATAGTTTCCAATACCTTTGCAATAATGCATGTCAGACTTACCGGCCTGTAGTTAGATACCAATTTTATTTTTTTATTTTTGATTACAGCTTGACTCCACACCGCATTTTTGGTACGTGTGGAATTTTCAGCGTGGATATCGGTAGCCCAAAGTTCGCAGGCCGACCATAGATATCAGGTGTGCGTCGGCGTGGGCTCGAACCCCGGACCATGTGCATGGTCGGCGAGAATCCTAACCACTGTGCCACCGACGCACCAATTGCCTATCCTCCCCTTTGAAGATAGGGCTTATAATGGCATTCTTCCAGTCCCTGGGTAGCTCAGCCTGCGTCAGAGACATGGAAAATCTCCGTAAGCAGAATATACATTATATCTGCCAAAGAAATTAACAGTTTAGGGTGAAGTCCATCTGGCCCAGGTGATTTACCTGGCTTCAGTTTAGACAGTAGTTTGAGGACCTTTGTGTGCTCTACCACAATTGAGGGCATCTGAGTGGCGATGGCAGTGACCGCGCCATATCCCTGGGTGGTACTGTCAGACGAGAAGACGTCACAGAAGTATTTGCAGAAGTTTTCGGCCTTTCCTTCGTTTGACTCATTCGCTTCTCCACTAATGGTTATGAGTGACGGTATACCACTGCTAGTTTTAGTCCTACGTTTAATATACAAGTATAGCCTTTTGGGTAATGAACGCAATCTAGTACTAGCCGTCTCTCGTACTCTATACGACTCTTGTTAATCGCATGCTTACAGAGATTTCGAATTTTGCGGTAGTCTTTCTGGAAATTTTGCCTTCCTGTCATAATAAATTGGTCCTATAAGTTCTTTCGCCGTCTTAATAGCCTCCTTATTTCACTAGCTGTAAGATATATGTATTTCGAAAGTCTACAACCTTATCTTGGCACCCTAACTGAAAGTAATGACGTTAAAATCTTTCGGTATTTGTGTTAACAAGGCAGTTCTGTGGAAATAGTTGAGATTGAGGTTGTCAATATTCTCTCTTCTGACTAAGGAAGCAGAACGATATTCTAAAATATCCAGTCTAACAGAATGATTTATCTTTGCTTATACCAGGATCTGGGTTTGTGCCATCAGCGACTGCTCTCCAATATGCTGTTTTTTTACTCGTAATGTTAAATCCTCTGTTGCTCACTTACTCTGCTTGGTCTATATTGGCATACATTCACTGTTTGGATTTATAAAATTTCATTTAAAAGGAGTGAATGTAGGTTAGAAACTCTTTGTTTAGAAATCTAAACATCGTGCTGTTATCTGAAGACAGTGTGATGCGTGTTTTTGTTTTAGGACTTCTACCTGGAAAACTTCTCTTTCTAATAGTCATTTTAATTTTGTTCGAATTAGTTTAGTACACAGTTAATCCAATACTTCCGTACTTTAAATCCTTTTTTGTTTGCCTTTATCTTACGTGAAGAAGCCAAATTGTGACGAGATTTTTAGTGATAATGTTATCTATACTGGGTCCCGAATGTAGACTATCCTGGTTTTACTTCACGGTTCATCTACTGGTAATTATGCATTTGTTAATACTGAAAAACATATTTCCATTTCACATTCTTTTGATAGTCGCTATGTTATGTCGCCGCCGAAGAACGCCTTAGTTTGCCACTTAGCAGACTAATTGTAACTTATGCTATATTCGATTCTGTGAAGAAAACAAATTATGGCATTCTCCATAGACAAAGTAAGTTCATCTTAATTACTAACAATGTTTTCTAATTAGAATCATTTAAATCAGTCAACACTAAATGACAGACGTCAGGAAATATCCCATAGAGTTGGTTCGCTTGTGGAATTATTTGACTTCTTCCTATTGAATGGTGGAAACGCCATTGATACAATGACGGTTAACGCCTTTTTGTACACTTACCGTTTATTTGCTGATATAGAAGTGGTTTTGGAAGTAGTAGATAAAAAGCAAGTATGCCTTTTTATAATTTTTATATTAATCCATATAGGTTTTGGAATATGTGTCATTCAGGCTCTTTATCTACTTCTTGGAAAGTTGGGATCATTTCGTAAGTTTTATTAGCATTTACTCTCAGTTGATAAATTGCTGTTTCACTTTCTTTTCATTCTTGTAATTAGTTCTGTTTCAGTATATACAATATCACAAAACTTCTAATGACACCTTGGTTTAGGTGTACCTTCGGTAGCGTCTTTTACTGTATACATTTTTATTAAGACAAAAGTGTTCACGTATATATTTCTAATTTTTTTTATTTAAACACACAAACCTTGGTACACTACGGTACCTATAAGATGCGCCACAACGTATATATAAACCTCATAATTTAGCTACCCAATTCTGCAACTGTTGTCATAACGACAAGATTAGAATTATCGGTGGCTGTAATCTAAAGCTGTAGAATTTGGAGATCAAGTTTCTTGCCCATAAGTAGTTCAATACAACATACTCTCAGTTGGCATAGTATCTGTAGTGAAATTAATTTTATAAGATAGTCCGTCTACTCAACTTCCAACTGTATCATCAATGGCCTTGTCAGTTTGAATGATCAGGTAATAGTTTTCCTCCTGAAAAACAACATGTACAGCTTATCGAATGGTGATCCAGCGTCGTACACTAGTTACTAAAATTTTCATCATTGCGTCAACATGAGACATTGGAGTTGTCTAAGGTTTTCACTCAAAACATACAAGCATATGCATCATAATATTCTTCCATGTTTGACAGAACCTAAATAGTTGTGACACTGATTGCACATTACAATTAATGCCCAAACAGATCTTAATGCCTTTTGAAAGTTGGCTAAAGAAATTCACACTAGATTCTTCATAAAATATGACATAAGGATTCAGGGATATCTTCTAGTTTAGCATTTAAAAGTCTGTAGAGTGTAATACTTCTATCAAAATCAGAATAAGTGTTTGAAATTCCTTCCGTATACTTCTTTCAATTTAGAGGTGGCAGGACTTTTCGAACTTTTAATGCATTTTAGTTGTATCCGTTCACATGCGTGGCGTATTTCTAAGCTAGCTGAAACAATATCCATTGCATGCAGTATGAGATTTCAAAGAAAAATAGAATGCACGTTTTGGACATAAATTTTTTACTTGAGGTCGAGTAGATGTTCTGTGAAGATCAACTACTTACAAACTATAAATTCAAAGTGAAGCTAATCATTGGAACTTAAATAGTCGACTCATCTTTACAATTAGAGTTCATGAATGTTAAAGCCTTTCATGCGTGTAAGCAGGAATTTAACATTTGGTAAAAATTTGTTATTTTCAGATTTGATATTTTCTCAGTACTACTTTATTTGATACAGTTTTCATATACGACTGCATTGAATTTTGAATTAGATCAGATAGAAATCTTAGTTTAAAAATCATTCTTTTCTTGTGAAAATTCAATACTTCAAAAAGACACTATTTTTTACTCCTCTCTTTTTGTACATATAGGTCTTTTCAGTTTCTTCTCAATGCATGGTTGCAACAACCTCATTTGAAAGATTTTGACTCTCCACAGAAAGTTACATATCTTAAACGGTTAATACGAATTATTGCTGATTGGTTTGATATTTTTCAAACTTCTTCCTCCTCTCAAAGTAGTCATGTATATGCGTTGAAAGATTTTATGAAATGCTGTGGAAATAATTTACCGCCTTCGAAAAATAAAGGTGTGACACGGATTATGCTGTGCAATATTGATTCAGAAATTTGGGATCGACTGACAACAGATATGGAGGTGTTATGCCGACGAGCTGTAAACTGTTTAAAACACATTGCATGTAAATATCAAATTGATTTAAATCCTGAAAAAGAATTTCTACCATCACATACTGTCAGTGTGAATCGAGGTATGTTTAAATTTTCTTTAAATACTTATCATTAAAGATTTTTACCATATTTATCCACATAATTTGTATAACTGTGGGATTCACTAGACTACATATTCAGCAGATGAGACTTGTGTGAAGTGAAAAGCCTTTGCAAATATCTTGGATGAAAATGGTTATTTAATGCCTAGGTTACAAGTTCGAATCTTATTCTGTCGACTATGGTTTAAACACACAACTAACACTATTTAATCAAATCGATTTTTCACGCTTCTGTTAGTTACATAATTATAGATTTTCTTGTAATGAAATTACGACACTAGCTCTTTTATGGCAGTTAGTACTATTTAATGTTAGTGCAAGATCTTATTTGCTTTCACAGTTTCCTGGATTTTCAAAGCGAAAACAAGGATTCAAAAAGTTATTACAAGAAATCTGTGAATTAGTGACTTGTTAAATATTTCAAAAGTAGCTTTTCAGTCAATGTGGTCAGATAATGTTGCTCTCTGTCTTAGTATTCTACTTCCAACCAACTGATCACAGATTCAAACTAGTACTATATCGTCACCATACAAAAAAGGCACTGTTAGTGATGTCAGTGTCTACTTAAGACAATTGGGCACTGTTGGTGACCGACATCGAACATTATCATTGATCATTCCTGAAATTAAGTGTAAAAAGTTTCCGTTTATTTTTCTCTGTTTTATTTTCCTGAATATTTGGTATAAATACTCTGTTGTCAGCGTTTCTGTTGATGTTGATTCATATTTTGAGTAAAGCAAAAACAACAGTTTGTGCAGATTAAGATGGTGCCATCATTTATTTCTTTGGTCTCTCATAAGCTACTCACAGCCTGAAGACATTATTAAGTTTATATACAGAATCAATTTTAGCACACTTACACGGAGGGCCATTTTTAAACAAAAATTCAATGTGTGCATACAATGGTAATAACAATAATCACTTTATCCCCAAAATTTTCGGCTTTACGTAATCAAATGGAAGAGAGGATGAAAACATCCAGTTACCAGGGTAAGGGGAAACTGATAACCGCTTCCTTGTGAACACTTAAATCAGGTTTCAGGCTCTTGATGGGGATGCATTTAAAGAGTCTGTCTTTTTGGTGGAGCCAAAAGTCGACAGATACCCTTCCCATGTTAGCTCCGACTATGCATACAAATTTACATGCATCTGAGAGGGGCAGTTACGATGAAAGAACAGGAAGAAGGGCATACTTCTGATTTTCTGAACATGTACCAAAAAGTCTACGTCTCAATGGAACAAATGCTTTGAACAGTGCCATTTCCAAGCATCTCCTTCACACGGGCCATAATGTGGATGTCGCAAGGTCGTCCAAAATTATTAATAGACAAAAGAGGTTAATTCCTTTCAAGTTTGCCGAAGCAATCTCCATCAAAAGCCTGAAACTCGAATTAAGTGTTCAGAAAGAAGTGGTTATCAGTTTTCCCTTACCCTGGTATCTGGATGTTTTCATCCTCTCTTCCATTTGATTACGTAACGCCGAAAATTCCAATCTGTATGGTCGTTATTTGTTTGGGATAAAGTGATTATTATTATTACTATTATTATTACCATTGTATGCACACATTGAATTTTCGTTTAAAAATTAACCCTCTGTGTAAGTATATTAAAATTGTTTCTGTACATAAACCTAACAATCTCTTCAGGCTGTGAGTAGCTTATGAGAGGCCAACGAAATAAATGATGGCACCATCTTAATCTGCACAAACTCTTGTTCTTGCTTTAATAAAGTTCATAAAGGAGAATAAATGTATGATGTTTCCTAGATATCTATTTTGCTTTGCATGCAAAATGTATTAATCGGTATCCTAAATCGATTAATATATTGGGATAAGATCATGTGGTTTAGTGAAGAGTCTGTTGTCGGTAATTTTATTCACTAATCTGTACAACACCATTTGTATACTGTTTTTATTTCCGTTAATATTTGCAACGTAATAATTAAAGTTATTAGTGTGCAATGTTCATGATAAGAAAACTCAATATTATTTGATCAGAATCAAAAGTATGCGCACTAACAGAATTGATATGAAAAACGCATACAAATTGATAAGTTTATATCACTGGTTGCGTAATCATGAAGTTTTGGGAAAATCAAATACAGCTACTGAAAGCAAACGAATAAGTGTGAATGAATGAAACAAACTAGTTGTTATTAATTTCGATGGGTAATTTCAATAATACTGAGCAAACTTATGACATTTTGCATATACTCTCGACGAAGTATTTTCTGTAAATTTATAATGTAATCAAATTCCCCTAATTCCATATTAGTTTGTTTATTAGATGTATCACAGTGAAACAGTATTATTTACTGGATGACGTTTCGAACACAATTTATTGTTCATAATCATATCAATTTTGATCACACGACTTTGAAATTTTAGTTTTATTTGTTCTCTCCTATTTGTCGTCGTTGGGATAGTAGAATTTTCCATATATCTGGGACAGGTGTTGAATCATTTCTATTACATGTATTTGCAGTTAATTCGATAAACAAAGCTTCTGTTATCAATCTCTCCCTATACCCTGTGACATTAGATTTTAAAACTGTCATCCTACCCCATCCTATTATATGGTTGTGTGTGACTGCATGTAGTGCTATAGCTGCACTATTCTTTAGATTTCTTATCTTATTTGGGTCAACCAATCTAGATTTAGCTAGGTTTTTATGTTCGGCTAGTCTGACTGCCCCTGTTCTACTAGTTTGACCTATGTATTTGACCTGACAATCATTACAGGGTATTAGATAAACTAAATTGTTTTGTTCCCCTAAGCAGTTAACTCTTAAAGAGTGGTATGCATGGAAATACTAGCTAAAGGTCTTCCTTCTGTCTTCTTTGATACAGAATGCTTTCTTTTGCCTTTCTACAAGTTCACTCTAAATCCTATTCACTGGTATCTCGACCAAATTTTGAACCTAATTCCCGGCTTCTTCCGTTGAGAATATCTAAGTTTCCTCTAGGTTACTGAGATTCATTCAGTGACGGCACCATCTAATACAGAATTAAAATGAAAGAAACTTTGAAGAAAGTTAAATTAAACCACTTCAAGGAATAAGCAGAACAAATATCATATCAACCTGTATATTTTATTCCACCACATAAATACTTACGTAACATGCGTATTTAAATATAAAAAGTCAGTTTTAGTTCAGTATGGCTTGTCACTAGAATCAATAACTGTACTATTCTCTGACGCTTTTATTTCGTTTTCTTCTCTTTATATTGCATATTTGGTTTCTTGTTAGGCTTAGTGACAATTTAAAGTGATTATTTTTGAATAGACCCCCCCCCCCCACTTTGGTCTGTCTTTCTGTCCCACATGTTTAGTTAGGACTGTGACTCACGAATTGTATTTATTTACTTAAAACATAAACTTGGTTCATTATGAGCACCAAAAGATACACACCATATAGAATAACTGAAAAAACAAACACAGGGGAAATGAAATAAATCAAATGAGGAGCGGCAAAGCGAAAACTGGTAAGCATACCTCTGATGAACATCCAGAATAGCGTTCATTATTTCATTCTACTTCCAGAAATAAATGAGGGCAAGAAATTGTAGCACGTTCACTGCTGAGTCGCATGGTCTTCCAGACTTCATCCATGGAGTTGTGATGCACCAACAGTGTCTGTCTGTCTGGATTCAACATAGAACTTGGCACCGAAGTGCAGCAGTTCGAGTTGCCACGTTCCAAATAGCCCACAGAGGTAGACAAGAAGATGAGTGAAGAGAATTAATAGAGTTTGGCAAGTATAAGAGTGAAACAGAATGGGTAATGGTAGAAAGGAATATGAGAGATTACAGAGACCGAATACATCTGCGCCATTGACAACGATTTTGAGCCATGTCACCTATTGTCTCCAGCCATTGATTCCTAGAGTCCCGAGGGCCCCAACCCGGGAGTCTGCATCTCCCTACCTGACTCAGTTTAACTGTCAAGGATTTCATGGATTGATGCCATGTTTTTGTTTGGCCACCACTGGCTCTTTTCCAACCTGAACCTATATCAGCTAGCAAAGCCCGTCGGGGGAGGCGGTGGTTAGGCATGCGCAGCACGTAACCTAGCCATCTTAGTCTATGTAACTTTATAGCCTCGTCGATTGATTTTCCCTCTTTGCCCAACACTCTACGCCTAACATCAACATTACTTATCTTGTGAAACCACCTAAGGTGAGAAAGAGATCGTAGACATCTATGATCGAAAGCAGTCAACCTTTTCATGTCTTCAACGCGTATTGGCCATGTTTCAGAGCCATAGAGAAGGACGGAGCGAACTGCTGAGCAGTACACACGTCCCTTGGTTGATAACCGGATGTCACGCCTACGCCAGAGATGGTGTAAGTCAGCGAAAGCAGCTCGAGCTATTCGGATCCGTGCTGAGATTTCATCGCCAATCAGTCCGTTGGTGCTAATACAACTTCCCAAGTAGGTGAAGTGGTCAACATGTTCTATCACTTCCCTCCCTATCACTAAGTTAGGGGTTGACGTGGTCCAGTCCTGTAGCAGCATCTTACACTTTACAGGGGCGAATCGCATGCCAAACATACGAAGATTGCTGCTCAAGGTGTTCAGAAGACTCTGCATTTTTTCAGCATCCTCCCCTAACAGGACTATGTCATCTGCATATTCTAAGTCCATAAGATTATTCCCTGGTAACAAGTCGATTCCTAAGTCACTACGTTCAGTTAAGGATACTTCCATTAGCATATCTATGATGAAGTTAAACAGAAATGGGGAAAGTGGACATCCCTGTCGGACACCACTGGTTGTTACCAATTCAGATGACAATTCCCCATAAGCCCTTACACGACTACGTGAGTTTGAATAGAGTGCACCAACAGTCACTAACCCAGCATAATTGTCCTCCCTGTCGAGGCACTATATCACTGGCTGATCGATTCTTATCTTTTATCCATCCAGTCCCAGAGCTATCAAACAGCGAACGGTCTGTGAGCCACTGGGATGTCTACTGGGACCTCTTATCTGTTCCGTGCTTAATTTATGTAGGATTATCACTAGTAATAGACATTAACATAGAACTTAGTATTACTGTGTCGTAGTCAAGGTTACTTTCACCTCATACTGCCCCGTGTTCTGGTTTAACCAGCCCTTCGCATTTTCATAATCATTCTCAAGGCTATCAAGCATTGAACAGTGTGGAAAATGTTAGGATGATATTCGTGGTACAAATATGGTAGTTTATGCAGCCACATATCAAGTGATATGATTACGAACAATAAATTTTGTTTGAAACGTCATCCAATAAACCATACCGTTTCACTGTGTAATGTATCCCATAATCTTAATTTAGCTGATGAAGTCCTAATAGCATGAAAGTCGTTACCATACAGTGGCTGAATAGTACTTTTTTAATACCTCTTCTTTTTAACATCCTTAGGAGTTTGTCAATTTTGTGGTCTCAGTAGCACGTCTTCACTATGCTCTATTCTCTGCGTTTGCCTTCATCATGCTGCATCTCCTGCTAGCTTTTATTTCTTGTTCACATGGTGTCACTTGAATATCCTATCAGCGCATGTCCAACTGACCGCCATTTCCTTTTGCTTATTTGTTGGGTAGTAGGTTGCTGTCTGGTTCGACGCCATCTGATCTTCAGTGTCGAGCGAAAGCACGTTTTGATGAAAGTCTTCATTAATATTTTAGAAATGCATTTGGTGACGCGTACTAAGTCTCTAAACTATACAAAAGCACTGAATTGACATTAATGTTGAAAATGCGGATCTTGTTCGTTGTAGTGAGTTCAGTCGATTCCCACTGAGATTTCAGACTAATGTTCTTTTGTCTTGCTTATTTTATGGATCCTGGCTGTTTTTGACACTATTCTGCATGTCACATGTAATTGAGGTAATGCCACCAGGGTTAAACAACTGTAATAAAATAAAAGTGTACTCAAATCACGGAATATACACATTGGGTCATAGGAGTTATTAAGAAAACAGTTGCAGCGAAGAAAATTTTCTTTTCGACGAAGTCATCATCTAGGCTGTAAATTCGTGTATTTATATCAAATGGATGGGAAAGTTCCAGAATAATTTCCGGTTAAGGGTTAAATTAATAAAAATTACAATTAGGAATTAAAATGCCATAATAATCAGAGGAGGGGGCGGATAAAACTCAATCAAAGTAGCATCATAATTACTAAAAAGATTGACATTGTGCATTTGTGGGTTAGAAATGTAGAAATAACAAAATATACAGGATGTTTGGATAAAAAAACTAATGGGATGAATAACTGTTTATGCAATCAAGGATTAAATATGTAGAAATAGTAAAATGACAAAATAAACAGGAAGTTCGGATATGAAAATATGGTAGTGTAAATAGGGATTATGAAAAACTTAAAAATAACATGAATAAACAGGAAGTTTAGATAAGAAAGGCGATGGAATGGTCATTACTAAAAGAATTACCCGTTTATGATGGCCATGGCAAGGACAGGGGTTGGACGTATTTCTTTTGGATACAAAGCATGGGTTTGAGCTTTCGGATGGCTAGTGTCTCGGCTATGCCCAGATGTCTTAGTTTCACTCCCTTTGGTAGGTTTGATCGGATCTTGTATATTACTTTGAAGAATTTTTCGAAAGGCGCTGAATGTTCTGTCACTGAACTATGTACACGTTTCGTTCTCCTTTTACTAGCCTGGTTGGATAGTGTTCACGAGCGCGTTTTTCAAGTCGGCGCATGATACGGCCAACGTACACAGCTCCACAAGAGCAAGTAAACTGGTATATGCATGTTGAGGTGGCCTAATGCAACAGCTTGTCTTTCGCGTTCTGGCTGAACAGTTTTTAGCAGGAAAACGTCAGTCGTAGGCTCGCGGAGAAGTATGTCTTCCTTAGCGATTTGGAGAAGCGTTTATGAAGGATTTCTGCTTCAATATCACCTTCGAATTCTAGATTAAGCAGAAGTATTTTCTTTAGAACAGATTGGACTTGTTCGGAAGTCTTCTTAGATTTGAGATTCTTTTCTATGAACCTGGGCGTGAAACCGTTTTCCATCAGTGTTTTACGGCGATTACGCAGTTCTTCTTCAATCACTTCCTCGCTGCATATCTTCCGAATCCTCGAGGAAAGAGCGTATATCAGGTTCCTGTTTCTGCTTAGGGTCACGAAGCTTTGAAATTTGATGAATTGTCCATTCCATGTAGGCTTTTTGTATATGGACTTTTTCAGAGAGTTGTTGGCATTTCTTGTCAGATGGACGTCAAGGAAGTGGAACATTCCATCCGATTCAGTCTCAAGTGTAAAGTTGATGTTTGGGTGGGCGTTATTGAAGTAGGTTTTTTAAATCACAATTCTCATCATAAATGCTGAAAGTATCATCAATATATCTCTTGTGGAGATGGAGGTCGTCGATTGTTGGTGGTAAGGGGTTGTTTTCTAAGCTAGCCATAAAGCAGTCGGCTAGGAGGGGTCCTAAGGGAGAACCCATTGCTACTCCATCTACTTGCCTGTATATTTCCTTGCTGAAAGTAAAGTACACGTTGAAAGTGCACCATAGTAACAATTCTTTCAGGTAATGGATCGGTATACCGACATCGATGCTATTGGATTGAATGTAGTCACAAAAAAAAAATACGATTTCTGTCAATGGAAGAGAAAGACGACAACCAAGGAGACCATTTTCTTTTCTGCCACGTTGATATTCTTAATTGAATCAACAAAGTCGAATGTATCACAGAGGTTGTGTCTTGACAGCTTCTCTTTCACCGGCCCGAGAATCTCCACCAGCCATTTCGCGATTGTATGATATGGGGAATCTATCATATCTAGTATTGGGCGGAGTGGGACATCTTGTTTGTGCACTTTAGGTAGGCCGTACGTGCGCGGCGTTGTAGAACTAGATTGGCGCAGTTGTTCGTATAGTTTTGAACTGATAATGGATTCGTCTTTCATTTTCCGGAAGAATATCTAACAAGCTTAGTACTAGAAAGCAGTATTACTTCATAAAGGTTCACTGGGTATCTTTTTAGTCTGGTGCTTAAATAGTTGGAAATTAACACTTCTTTTTGTTTAAGTACGTGCGAAGGAAGTCTAAAGTTACACTGATCACTACAGTGTTCTCAATAATTGATTACATTACTTATTTATAACGTGAATGCTTATTGGCTACATGAAACACTGCATACTTCATTTTTTGTGGTTAGTCGTCTACCTTTTGTAATAATGTCGATTGATACCGGTAATATACATTTCAAAAAGTCGTAACTCATTGTAAATCGTATACTATTTTCATTATGATTCTTTCCCCCACCCCCCAGATTATCGTTATCATTCACCGCATAATCATTCAATGTTCAAATCAAAAAGTCTATCAAAAGAGACTGTTATTATACCACCAACCGTTAATCCTTTAATTAATTTATGGAATTTAAATGCGAATACAGTAGCTGAACAATTAACTGTAGCTGATCAGGTAGGAAGACGTATTCTCAGTGTTGTTAATATTGTTGTTCTATTCTCTTTTATTTGTCAATTACCAGAAGTTTGTGTATTCAGGTTTTGTCAGTGAAAAAAATGCTTAGAACCTCTTCATTCTTTCAGCATACAAGTCAATCTTTCTCAGTGCAGACTAAACTATCTTGGTTAGAATATCAGTACGAACACGTGTCTGAATGTGTTGTTAATGTAGTTATCAAACTCTTATTCTTGATGGAAGATTACTAGTGAAATATAATTTCCATGATGATTTTATCGAAGAGTATTCACTGAGGGTTTCATTATTATTCACAACACTTTAGTAAATAATGTACATTCTTATTTTTTATGCAAAATCTGCTCCAAAACCTATATGCTTTACGTGAAGTATATTATGATCCTGTGACTGTATTGAAATATGACGGCATACATATATTATTCAGTTGCTGCTCTAACGTAATTAACAATCTTTTTATCAATGAGGTTTAGTTCTCAATTTCACTTTTCAGATTGACATCTGAAATCTGTGTAATTCATTATATAAGTAGTCAATTATTTTTAGAAAATTCTATTTTTACAGGCTTAGTGAAGATTCAATACTAGCCATTATCATATTATTAGGCTGTGAATTTAAAAATTATTGTTTAGACGATTAGTTATAGGGTCAGGTTGGAAAAGAGCTAGCGGCGGTCAAACAAAAACATGGCCTCACCAGTCAATGAAATCTACAACAGTTAGTTTAAGCCACGTAAGAAGGTGTAGACTTCCTGACTGGTTGGGGTCCTCGGGACGGTAAAAACCAGTGGTTTAAAACAATTGGTGACATGGCTCAAAATCGTTCTCAATGGCTAGCGCAAATGTATCCACTCCTTGTGACTTATGATTTCCAATGAAACTGTTTTGTTCTTCGTTATTACTCTTCCTTTGTCTCACACCTCTGTTTACTGCATCTATTATGCTTTTCTTGTACTTTCCTCTCTTGCTTTGTGTACTACATGGAGTGTGGCGACTTGAAGTGTTGCACATATGTGCAAAGTTCTGTGTCGAAACAGACAGGTTAGAGGATTTCATTGTGAACTGACACCGGTTAAAGAACTATTGGATAACCTGAAAGTACTGGATAGCATTTTCATCCTAGTTTGATACTCTCTGAACCTCGGTGGTGCGCAATGCGAAAGAGTCCTAAACTAGGACGAGACAGCTGTCCAATACTCCCAGGTTTTCTAATGGTTCTCCATACTGATGTCAGCTCATGATGAAATCCTCCAAACAATCAAACAAAATCCCTACAAGCCAATATATAAAAATAAATTGTTTTGTCTGAGAGGCAGACTGGATATCCAAATAATTTGTGAGCATATATCAATATAGAGTTTTAGAATGTAATGTAGTTTTAAATGTAATCACCAAAATCATTAATAACTATTATTCTTTTATAATTTCAATTCTTAACTACCATACTTCTGAATTGTCTCAACGTAAGGTAGTTTCATGGAGCATTATCAGACGAATGTCAATCGTCACTATTGATTGTACATGAAGAATATTCACATAAATATTCTACACTGTATTCTTTAATGAAAACTTAATAAAGTTGTTTAACGTAATTCTAGCGTGGTTGAAAAAAACAACAACTGAAAGAACGTTTTCTGAAACATTTCACGGTGTAAGCTGTAGGTAGTTTTTCGACTACTTCTTAGTTCGAGGTAACGCAGTTGTCGATAAATATAGGGTAATCTAACAACCGAATTACACCAAAATATTTGGAAGTTGGTTTTTAAATGGATGTCTTAAAAAGTAATATACACTACTGATAGATACTTGCGATCAGTTTTGCTTTTCACAGTCAAGTGGGTGGTCTGTTCCTCTCCTCACACACCTATAGTACAAGTTGTACATCGGTTTTCTTTGTATCCCCTTTGCTGAACTTTTCTTCTGCAGAGTAAGGTGATTTCTAAGTTGAGTTTCTATCCGTCTTTCAACGCGTCACTTTTATGAATTTTTTACAAAGTTTCTGAACTTAGACGTTTTTATTTCATATCGAAGTTTTTTCTCACCCTTTTTTTGTTTTACATTACAGCGATTATTTCTGAGTATAGAATTAAATGATTGTCTAATATATGCTAGGGGGAAACCAGCACCATCTGTACAAGCTACAATCGATCAATATAATAAATTATATCAATTCGTCCAAAGTTCAGTGTTTAATTCAGATCAAGATTATCCGATACTAGTGGAACCGACACCGATACATTCAAGACGTTTTCGTAGACCAGATCAGTCTAATAGTTCTGCTACCAGAGTCAGTCCACAGATAATAACTATATGGTCTAAAAATTCCAATTATCCAACAAACTATCAGTCTCCAACATCAGATATTGGTAAATTGAAAACTGGATGCATTATTACATGGATTAATATTGCCTATGTAAGTTATTCATAAAAATATAATAGTGTGCTTATCTTTTTTTTGTTTTGGTTGATAAATTAATACGGTTGATATGATTGTTGTTAAAGGATGCAAAGTTTATAACCTATCTGCCAATATGATGTATGTGCGATCCTCTGCTATGTCATTCAGTTGAGCAGTACTCTTTTAAGTTGCATACATTTATTTCCCTTAATGAATTTGAATAAAACAAGAACAACAGTTGTAGCAGAATAATATGGTACCATCACTTATTTCGTTGACTTCTCATCATCTGTTCACAGCCTAAGTAAATTATTAACTTTATGTAGATACAAATCTCACCATACTTGCAAATTTTACATGAGTTCACTTGGTAGGAGGTTCTGGACTTGGTGAACAGTGCTTAGAAAATTACGCCTATATATGTTGCACGGGGAGTTCAAGTTTTTTTAAACAAAGTAAGTTTATGCATACAATGGCAAGGAATTTACGCAATAGAGACGTGAGATGCGTAAGATCATGAGTAACTAATAAATTGAGTGACAGTGTGCTGAGTTCAACTCAAATCATGGAAACAAGAGACTAGTGAAATCGCACTATATCAAAGGGGGATGAGTTTACAGCCTAATATTACTCAATCAAATGAAAGAGAGAGTAAAGACACCCAGCTGATAAAAAAGCCAACGAAATAGATGGTGGTATGTTATTCTACAAAAACTGTTGTTATTGCTTTATTCAAACTCTTTTCAGTAGTAACTATAAGCAAAGATATGACATGTATAAGGTCATTAACATTAGCTCTTCTGTAAGTATAAATTAAACTAAATGAGTCTTTCATTATTTATTTGATTGTTTGTAATCCGGATGATATTTAGGAGAAGATATGCCAAATGCCAAAGTACAAATGCTGCTGAGTGAGCTAAGAAATCTTGATTTGGAAAAGTCATCCAGTCTTGTCACTGTTTTTGTTTGTTTGCTCCGAAATACTTTCGATGTTTTGTCTTTGCGTTTCGATGTAAATCACACACTTGTCTATGTAAAGGTTTAGTTTGTTCCCTGCTCTACATATATGGTCATTTGTCTAGTTTAACACAGATAATGATAAATGTAAACTAAGCCCAAACTAGGATGAAGCATCTGTCTTTTAATGGCTCTCTAAATGAAGTCAGCTGGTGATCAAAATTGAAATGAGTCGACTCCTTGCAAAGCAATACCTTATCAACTAAAACATGCAGTTCTTCCACGTATGCTTTCATGCTTTTACTCACTCGTTTAAGCATTTCACTTACAGTTGACAGATAAATGTTTTAAACCGTTGATACATAATGTATGTGTCTGTATGTAACCTAGTAAAGGGTTTCCAATTTTCATGTACTATCATTTTCAAATCAGTGTATATAAGGTGTTCGACTGTTAGTTGTGAACCAAATATGTAATGCGTTTATTAGTTTTGGGTCTTATAACTACCTGTTTTTATATCCTCTGTCTGTCTGTCTGTCTGTCTCTGTCTGGATTCAACATAGAACTTGGCACCGAAGTGCAGCACTTCGAGTTGCCACGTTCCAAATACCACACAAAGGTAGACAAGAAGATGAGTGAAGAGAATCAATAGAGTTTGACAAGAATACGAGCGAAACAGTGTAGGGAATGGTAGAAAGAAATATGAAAGATTACAGAGACTGAATACATCTGCGCTGTCATTGACAACGATTTTGAGTTATGTCACCTATTGTCTCCAGCTATTGATTCCTAGAGTCCTGAGGGCCCCAACCCAGAAGTCTACATCTCCCTACCTGACTCAGTTTAACTGTCAAGGATTTTATGGATTGATGAGGCCATGTTTTTGTTTGGCCACCACTTATTCTTTTCCAACCTGCACCTATATCAGCTAATAATGCCCGTCGGGGGAGGCGATGGTTAAGCATGCACAGCACGTGACCTAGCCATCTCAATCTATGTAACTTTATAGCCTCGTCGATTGATTTTCCCTGTTTGCCCAACACTCTACGCCTCACGTCAATATTACTTACCTTATTAAACCACCACCTAACGTGAGACAGAGATCGTAGACATCTATGGTCGAAAGCAGTCAACCTTTTTATGTCTTCAACGCGTATTGGCCATGTTTCAGACCCATAGAGAAGGACGGAGCGAAGTGCTGAGCAGTACACACGTCCCTTGGTTGATAGCCGGATGTCACGCCTACGCCAGAGGTGGTGTAAGTTAGCGAAAGCAGCTCGAGCTTTTTGAATCCGTGCTGAGATTTCGTCGCCAATCAGTCCGTTGGTGGTGATACAACTTCCCAAATAGGTGAAGTGGTCAACATGTTCTATCACTTCACTCCCTATCACTAAGCTAGGAGTTGACGTAGTTCACTCCTGTAGCAGCATCTTACACTTTACAGGGGCGAATCGCATGCCAAACATACGAAGATTGCTGCTCAAGGTGTTCAGAAGACTCTGCATTTTGTCAGCATCCTCCCCTAACAGGACTATGTCATCTGCATATTCTAAGTCCATAAGACTATTCCTTGGTTGGTAACAAGTCGATTCCTAAGTCGTTAAGTTCAGTTAAGGATACTTCCATTAGCATATCTATGGTGAAGTTAAACAGAAATGGGCAAAGTGGACATCCCTGCCGGACACCACTGGTTGTTATCAGTTCAGATGGCGATTCCCCATAAGCGTTTTTTATATCCATTAAGAGTTGAAGAACCTCGAATATGTTGACTTGTCTTCAGAATGGTTAACTTTTGTTCTCTGTCAGTGTGGCATTAGACACCGTTTTATGTTGTAGATTCCTTCCATAAGGTCCTTACTAACACATATTTATCATAAATTAACAAATCAAGCACCCTGCATTCGATTACCTCATGGTTTTCAAAACTTCTGTTTAGAGTTGTAATGTGACCAAGATTTTCATTCAGATTGAATCCTTATCTTTGCATACACATAACTATTTCCTATGGTTCGACCGGGACCTGACCAATTTTCCCCTGTCTCCGATGTGATTATATTTTGACATAACAGAAAAGACTCAGTAAGACAAATACTATAACAAAGAATGGGGTTCTGTTTATTTGAGACTAATATCGCAACTGTAAATTATTTAATGTGTATCGTTAAAGTGTATAAATTATAATCTATTTTGTTGTCAGAATTCTCTACACTTTATTTTTGTTTTCATGAATTTATGTTGTAAGCGATTAGGACAAACAAGAAATTATTCAGCATTGAAGGCTATTATAATGGCTTTACAGTCTACTCCAATACACAGATTATGGCACAGTTGGAATGTTTTAGAATAGTAAGTCTGATAAATTATTTTGATGTAAATATTTTTGATGTTGTTGTACTTTTTGACCTGGTTGGCTTAATTGTAAAGTTTTGCAAACATTAGATTCAGCACTAACTTGGAAATAAAGTTAGCTTTTATGGTTGTGTTAGTGTCTGTTAATTAAAAAGTGTTCTAAGCATTATGCTTCCAAGAATTCTGTGCTATTATTAGTGTTTCTTATTTTGAAGGTCTTCACATATTACAAGTCCAACTTGTGTCCATAGTTGTCCATGTGCGCTGACATAACGTATACGTCTCACATTGTCTCATTTCTATTTTATATTCATAGATTGATAGATTCAGCGGACATCCAGTTTGGCTTTTTAAGATGACGCAGTTCATCTTACAGATGATATTGGCTTTGTTATCTTTCGTTGTTAAACCTTTTAGTCTACCTGGTATGGTGTGAGGAACTTGTGTCGGTTTGCGTCGGTGACACAGTGGTTAGGACTCTCTCCGACCATGCACATGGTCCGAGGTTCGATCCCCCGCCGACGCACACCTGATATCTATGGTCGGCCTACAAAATTTGGGCTACCGATATCCATGCTGAAAATTCCATACTTGTACCAAAAATACGGTGTGGAATCAAGCTGTAATCAAAAAATAAATAAAAATAACATTCATGCTGAAAAGTTTTAATTCTCTGACATTGGTTTCAAAAGTTTCTTTCATATATGGTAGAATAACTTTCTTTGCAGCTTCATAGAATGGTTTGGTATTGATTTGATAATGAAATCGGTCGCATATGTATTTTGCCAGGGGATAGTCAAAAAGATGATTCTCTTCCATTCTTCCCGAGTTGTTTGTGCTTTATTGTGTCGTGGCTCTTCAGAGTAATTTTTTGCATACAGCGTTTTGATGTACGACTTGAGGTCTGTAGTAGGTTGTAAATCCATATTAATTTGTTTATTGGAGATATATCACACAAAGAAACAGTATACTTTACTGAATGACGTTTCGAACACAATTTATTGCGCATAATCATATCAATTTTAACTAAACAACTTAGAAACTTGATTTTTAAAGTTCTGGTTCTTCTTCCCCATCTGTTTTAAGAGTAGTAAGAATTTCTAAATGTCCGGCATACATGCTGAGTTATCCTCTTATTCTAAGTTGATTCGATAAGCAAAGCTTCAGTTATCAATATCTGCCTCCGTTACTTTAGATTTTAATAGTATCATTTTGACGTTTTGGGTTTGTTACCTCTCTAACCGAGTTTTCGATCTGAGTTGACTTTCTATTTTTCTGTTTCTAAGTTTTCTTTCATGTTCTCTTTGTGGTGGTGTGGTTTATTAGCTTCAGAACTTGACTTTCAGCCAGTGTATTGAATCCTTCTTAATCAGCTTCAGCTTGAATGAAACAGTAGTGTCACCATCCCTCACACTATACGTGTGTTTAATATTCATGGATTAGAGAAACTTGCTGTCGCTAACTGACTTCTAAAAACTTATTCACTTGACCAAAAATTTTGTTTGATTCCTTTTCTCTCGTAAATTTGATATGCTTGAAAGCTCTGTTGATTCTGTCCTTGACTTTCTTATGACGTTTATTGTAGACATAAATGATATGGTGCAATTAATGAAGAAAGTGTTAAGTATTTTTGATTGCATACTAGTCAGTAACTAGTGTAATGTGTCTAATCCTATCTTCGGTGCAGACTGAATTCTATCAGTCAAGCTTGCCATGTGGCCACCATGCTAGGTGGCGAGCCCGAAGAGCTAAGTGTTAACGTCTCTGAATGCAGCATTGGGTGACGCGGGTTCGAATCTCAGAAGGGACATGAGTTCCTTCAAGGTTGCAGATACGCCTTGCTGATGAGCGCCAACTAGCACGAAACCTAGGTCCAAGGCTTCCTGTGGCCGATTACCTCCAACCATCTAAAGTGTTAAGTGATTAGATACTTACTCATCATATGAATTCAAAGGAAATTCAAGTGCGTCTAGGTCACTGAAATCAACATTAGACTTCAAGAAAACAAGTAACTCACCGAAAAGACTTCATTGATTTTACTGACTACATCTGTTAAAATAAAATTATCGACAATCTTCCTCTCTTGAATAGTTCACTGTTGCTTGATATTTATTTATATTTTCGTTCAGAAAACCTAGAGATAAGCCAAAACCAAATACCATAACGTAAAAATACATGTTTGCTGAGTCTAGTGAATGACAACGAAATAATGTCAGGGGAATGGAAAGGTTGCAAACTTCCGATGACAAATTGTGTAACACAGCATAATATTTAGTAAGGCGATTATCATCGAAATGAACACGGAAACATTGAAGAATTAATACTGCATACGGACTAAGTAATGTATAGGAATTGGGATATAGGAATTTTTGAAATCCTGAAGATCAGCATATTGAAATAAGGTGGGATTATGAAAACCGATTTTGAGTTTAAGTTGTCAACTCACTATTATGATGGCTTAATTTTGGTCAACATAATTAAAGAGAGGTTGAGGTTAAATATTCTGTGTCAAGAAAGTATGGATCAGTCTGCTGTTATTTTAGATATACAGTTATCTTTTTATCGTCGCTCAGGACACCGTCCTTAAAGGATTTAAGTGAAATAAGTGATGTATCTAGACCTACAGGATCAAGTGACCTGGTATACACACAAACGTGCTCAGATTTGAGTTCTCATAATATAGGATTGGACCGTATTACTATCAAAGTTACCACGAGCAGTATTCTTTTCAAAGTCATATTCATTTTCTGTAATAGGCGGGACGCTTCTAGAACTAAGATTCATATATTTGTATATGTATGCGCTTTCTTATAGTAAAAGAATCAATCATGTCTCCGAAATTTTGGTTTAATATTTTTGTCTATGAGATGAAATGGATATCTGTTTTTGGATGGGATTTTTCGTAGGTAATTTACCTTGCGCCTTCGACAGTGTCGATCGAGAGGTGATTTGGAAACTAATTCGCTACTACTGAGTGCGGCCAACATTTATACATCTCATTCAACAGTTGTACGACAATGCTGAATGCCAAGTAATCCACAACGGGGAACTCATGGAATCCTCCTTTACTTACCTGGGAAGCATCGTTTCAATTACAGGCGGACGGAACTGACGAGGATATCAAAGCGAAAATCAGGAAAGCAAGACAAGTTTTCATCTCTCTCAAGTCTGTGTGGAGGTCAACAGCACTCAGAATCAAAAATATGATCCGGATTTTCAACTCCAATGTGAAGTCAGTCAGTGCTACTATACGGATCAGAGACTTGCACTGCGTGTTACGAAGGGCAATTCGAACAAACTACAAACTTTCATTAACAGCCGTCTTCGCTCAATGCTAATCAAGATCAGATGGCCGGCCAGAAAAGATCAGCAACAGGGATCTCTAGGAGCGAACCAACTCAGCAGGAACCGATTGTGAAACAAATAGGCAGGAGGAAATGGAGATGGATTGTCCATACGCTGAGGAAACCATCAATTGACATCATAAGACAGGCCATGACCCGAGTGGAAGCAGAACGGAAAGCGGCAAGTTGGTCGTCAGTGCGAGGGTAACATGGAGGAAGTCATATGAAGAGGAGATGAAAATATGTGGACAGACGTGTACCCAGGTGAAAACGTTGGCAGAGAACCAAACACAATGAAGACGTGCAACTGAAGCCCTATATTCCTCTAGGAACTAAAGGAAACAATATAATATAATAATAATAAATCTACCTTGCAGCGTAGCAGAAAATATCGAATTCGAACACATAGCATTTGTTGGTAAGTTTATGTAAACTTTATATCAATCTTAGCAAAAACCTATTTCAGTCCTGTTTTCTATAGGTCTTGGGTGAACCTAGGACAAAGACTCATAGTTTCAATTAGGGTCGTAAATTTGTTCTGTGCTATGAAATGTGCCCAAGGAATTCTCCCTTCTTATTTCAATCTCACCTGATAAATCAGAGTTAGCTGGTGTCTTTCGCGTGTACTGCATATCCAAGGTCATTTAAATTTTCCACCAGTTGACCTATTCCTTTTGTATAAAATGTTCGTCTACTTCACTGAATGTTTCTTTCTATCATTGCAATCGACTTTTGCTCTCAAGTTGTTATTTGTTTAAATGCATCAATTTGTATTCTATTTATTTCAAATTTTTACTTATCATAATATTTTCTTATTGTAATCTATTCTTTCTTTTACCTATTCCCCAAAACCTACAATGAATTAGCCATTATCATGAACACTTTCTGAAATTTAAACATTTGGCTTCGATAGTGAGTTTTGACAACAATCAAGAACAGTTAAGGAAACGATTAAATAAAGTGAGTTATATATGCTAAAATTTATGTTCATCATGCTCAGATTTTTAGTCTAAGTAATTTCCGTAACAATGTTAGGAGATATATGTATCCAAATATGTAGTTGTAAGACTTAAGTTAATTTCATTTAAGACGATTGATTTTATTATGTTGTTCACTAAAAAGTCAAGATCAAATTAATAACCATTTTAAGTCAGTCATACAGGGTTAAGTGAGCTTCATCAATGGTAATTACATATGACATATGGCATATAACCTACACATCTCAGGTCCTTACTGCCTAATGCATTCTTGAAATCTTTCATCACTTCCATTGTTTTACAAATTCGTACACAGTGGATCATTCCGAGTTCTGCATAACAATGAAGTGAACTAAATCAAATCAAGTTCTTTTTAATAATTCTTGATTGGCAGGAATCCCCAAACTTCGGTTTCGTTATTGTTGGCTATCGTGCGCAAAGCAAATATCTGCCCCCTTGGAGAGATGCAAGCTCACTCCACTCAGTGTTGAAATAGGAGAACTTTTCACTGACCTATTCGAGTTTATGACTGACTTCCTCCTGTAAGACTATAATGGATATATTGGTTGGTTACTAGTGAATAACGAGTGTCATTTGTCTATTCCTTTGTGACGGCGCCGAGTGATTTCTCTCAGTCAGTCCACAAGCTTCCTTCCTGCCTATTTCCTCCGACCATTAAACATTAATTCAAAGTACATTACATTGGCGAATTATCTAACTTCGTGACTGATGGAATTCTATCAGAATCAACCGTGATGTCGTTTAACGTATTTCACTTTGAATTCACTTTATTTACAACTACTGAGAAACAATATGTCTGAATAGTGTTTCACTAACTACTAAATTATTTTGTTTTATTTCGTATTGTTATTCTAATGGATAGTATTCTGTTTACCCACTTGTTGTGTTTATATATTATAAAATAGTGTGCAAAGAAAATGTACTGGTACTTAAAACTCAATAATCCAAATCCTTTATGTGTAAGTTATACAGACATTTTGTTATTGAGTTATGTTTTCTTTTACTTTTAAAAACAAGTTATCTTAAAGATGAATATTAAACAATAAGCCATTGATGAATGAGGTATATCCGTTATTTATACAGTGTGAAAGAAGTCTCAGTGGCATCTTTTTATAGGGTGGGGTTGTTAGCCTCACTCCCAACCTCCCCCGTTCGCTAGGCTTATTACCAGGTAAGTAAGATTTACGAGTGTGTTGACCGAGAACTAAATCCGCATCACGTGCATGGTTGGGGAGTATTGTAGCATAAAACCCACCGAATTTAAGCGATATCGATATGCATATATCATACAACCCTCCTTAAACTTTACACATAACTATTAAGTCGCGTACTACTCTATCTCTGATATGTATCTATATATATATATATATATATATATATATATATATATATATATATATATATATATATATATATATATGGTGGTCTCTCTTTCTGTTACTCTCTTAGTCTGTGACCATTTCACTTTGATGAACCTGTCTCCTTTAACAATGTATATTCCCCTTATATTATATATGTGTGTTTGTTTGACAGTTTGTTATATTTCGCTATGTATATATGGATCGATACTCCAATATAATTAGCCAATCATGTTAAGACTGTCTATTGATTTGTTCACACACTTGTTTGGACATTCATATATATTTTGCTCTCACACTATTGTGTGATACATTTGATTCTCCTTGTGTTTGGAAATAGAAGTATCATCGCAAACCTAGTGGTCTTCTGAATTCCGTCTTTCTTGCGTCAGGACATAACAATAATTTGGCGACGAGTACATAACAATTTGGCGACGGGGAAAACTACTATTAACCACTCAGCAGCAGCAACATAACAATCTCTCTCGGTAGATTTTACAGCAAAAAGTCACGAAAACATCATCAGAACATATGACAACATAGTTACCGTCTAAATACTAATACAGTGACGGTGATTTGCCGTTATATTAGTATTTTTTTTCCTTCACGTTCCCCAGTGGAACATAGGGCTTCAAGCTGGTGGCTTGGAGTTTCTCTAGCAATGTTTATTTTACAGGATGGGGTTGCTAGCCTCATGCCCAACCTTTCCTCTTTATCAGCATTATTTCTGGCTTAGCGATGTAAAGGAGTGAGTCTGTGGCCGGAGATCGAACCCCAGACCATGTGGATGGTCGGCGAGTGTCCTAACCGCTATGCCACCGACGCACTTTTTTTTGGAGGGGGCACCCGGGTAATTTGTTCTCAGTTAACTTATAATTTACTTTTGTCTTACTTGTCCAGTCGATGGTCAACGTATGCAACCATGCTATGTCGTATGCATTGTAAAATTGTAGATTACTTCTACCAAAGTAATATATGTCAGAAGCACTTGAAGGTTTAGTTAGATATGCATGGAATGTGGCATCCAGTGGGATAAGAGGCTCAGCTGTTTGTCACCTCCACATTTCAAAATTTTACATCACGTATTATGCTCTTTTTTTAAATAAGTTTGCATTAACTTACAAAGCTCATTCCATGTAGTCATCAAACAGATAGCGTTAACTCAGCCTTTTTCTGTATAAGAGTTCAATCAATAAGTTACTGAAACCCTTGAAAACATTTTCTTATATTATCAAAAATCTAGAACTGTCTACAATTACTATAGACATTCATTCATAAATTCTGTGGTCTTTATCTGTATAAACAATGTTTTCAAGTGGGAAGAAATGAATCTAAACAGATAGTTAATCATGAAGAGTAGTTGTTATTTCCAAAGAAGGTAATAAATGTAATAATCTATGCTTACCAGACTAACTATTCGTCTCAAGAGGTTTTTTTAATATTTGGTGATGGATTAGTGGTTATGCTTTGCTAAGTTAATCAATGGTTTATACATTGAAGGTCATCTCTACTCTGAGTCAATATTAATCAAAATTAAAAATAAGCAATTTCAAGTTATATCGTTTATTTATTGCATTTTTCCATCAATCATTCGATTAAAGGTATTCCATGGTTGAAGAAAACATCGTTTTTACATTAAATTAGTTTGCTATGCCCTTAAAGCTTATTCAACCTTAGATCTTGTATTGTTCATTTTCTTTCATATAAGTACAACACGCTAATTAAATGCAAATCACTAACCATCTTAGTCGTTGTGCACTAGACATGGCTGATTGGCTTTTAGTACTTTACTTTCCTCTAGTAGACCCTTGTTCCGAATACCAGTGCACTTACGTTAGCGAATGGATAAAGGTAAAACTTTAGACACCTAAGAAGAACAGACCCTGAAACGACAAATTCCTCTAAAAAGCGAGTTCGTAACCCTTACCTTAATCTTTCTTTATCCCCAACCCTAAACTTTCCCCTAATCTATGCCTAACCTAATCCAAACACTAATACCTCTAAAAGGCCTTCGACAGCGTTGACCGAGAAGTAATTTGGAAGCTACTTTAACACTACAGTGTACCTCAAGTCTTTATCGACCTCATTCAACATCTATATGACAATAGCACGTGTCAGGTGATCCATAACGGAAAACTCAGGAAGGCGTTCGAAGTGAATACAGAAGTAAGATAAGACTGCCTATTATCACCGATAATATTCTTGATTGCAGTGGACTGGATTATACGTGAGACTCTGCACAGGGAGTGAGAAGACAGGAGTACGCTGGACCACCGATAAGAAGACTCTAGGAGATCTGAATTTTACAGATGATATATGTCTGATGTCTCACATACTCGAAGACTTACAGGAGAAAGCCAACAAGGTGGCAGAAGTAGTTAGTAGCAAAGACAGTACTGCTGGTGAAAATAGAGAAGATGGAGGTGATAAAGATAACCAGCCAACGGCAACAACAACAACCAGCACCAAGCACCATCAACGGGAGAGATTTTACAGAGGTTTCCTCTTTCACTTATCTGAGAAGCATCGTTTCAACTACAGGCGGAACGGACGAAGATGTCAAAGTCAGAATCAGAAAGGCAAGATACGCCTGCATCAGCCTGAAACCAGGTTGGAAATCCTCTGCCCTCAGTCAGCGTGAAGAACAAGATTCGGATTTTCAACACCAATGTTAAGTCGGTCCTTCTATACAAGTCAGACACCTGGCCAGTGTGTCACGAAAAGGATTTCCAACATGTTGCAGGCTTTCGTCAACAGCTGCCCTCCTCGCTGAAGATCTGAATCAACATCCAGAAGGAACTAGTATCAAGAAACTCTGGCAAAAAACGAACCACCCAAAAGCCGATCGCCCAACTAATATGTAGGAGAGAATGGAGATGCATCGGATATACATTAAGGAAATCGTCGGATAACATCGCGCGCCAGGCCATCGCTCGAGTGGAATCAAATGGGAAGCGATGACTGGGTGGTCAGTGTGAGGGTGACATGAAGGAAATTGTGTGAGGAAGAGATGAGGTAATATGGATGATCGTGGTTCAGCTGAAGAATGATGGAAGAAAATAGAAAGTAAAGATGTGTTGTTGAAGTCCTATGTTCCACTCTGAACCGAAGGGAACAATAATAACTAAATCAGCTTAACTCTAGCCCCTGTCCTTAGCCTAAACCTAACCACAGTGTTCCCCTAACTCAGCCTTCACTTATTTTAGAAGTTGCATTAGCCCCAAAGGGTTGATCGCTGACGAAATCTCAGCACGGATACAGAAGGTTCGTTCGGCATTTGCCAACTTATGTCATTTCTGGTGTAGATGTATTATCCGGCTGGCGGCTATCAATCGAAGGACGTGTCTACTGCGGATCGGTTCGCTCCGTCCTTCCTTATGACTGTGAGACACGGTCATTGGAAGTGGGAGAAGTGGAAAGGGTGATTGTCTTCAATCATATGTGTCTGCGTTCTATCCCCCATGTGAAGTGGTATAATGGGGTGAGCAGTATTGAGGTTAGGCTTCGATCAAGTGCTAGGTAAGGAGGGGAAATCAATCAACGAGGTTTTGAAGCTACATTGATTGAGGTAGCTAGGGCATGTGTTACTCATATCTAGTCATCGCCTTCCTCGATGGGCAATGTTAGCTGACATAAGATCGATCAGGTTGGAAAAGAGCCAGTGTTGGTCAAACCAAAACATGGCCACATCAGTCAAGGAAATCCAAAACAGTTAGTTTAACTCAGCCACGTAAGGATGTGTAGACTTCCTGGTTGGGGTGCTCGAGATGGGAAGTGGCTCACAATTGTAGTCAATGGCTGGCGCAGATGCATTCACTCTTTGTGATTTATAATACCCAATAAAATCCTATTGTTCTTCTATATTACTAGTCTTTTTGCCACGCAATTCTGTTTATTATCTCTCTCTTTTGAATCTCTCTCCTCTTTCTTTGTATATGCTACATGCAGTATGGTAACTCGAATTGCTGCACATCTGTGCAAAGTTTCATGTTGAAACTAGTCAGCCAGTCAAAAATAATCACAAATCCTATTTAATATCATTGTACTTCATTCAATAATCTTCATGAATATAGTTATATCTACTTGGCTGCACCTTCTCAGACTAAGCGTTCCTAGGTCACTGCTGCATTCTTACTTGTTGGATGTCTAAAGTATAACTTCGCTCATTAGTGGTCTGGCAATAATAATAATAATATAAAGTGCGCCTCACAAGTTGGTAAATGAAAAGTTAGTATTAGATAACTGATTTCCAACTCCTTTAGTAGTCTGTAAGTAAAACATTTGGTTGAAATCCATAATTACATAATTCAGATATGTTGAAGATAATATACCATAGTATGTTTTTTTACGCCTTTCTAACTTCTCCGGTAAAAGCGTCTTGTCCATTAAAAGAATCCAGCTAAATCCGCTAACCAGGATAAATTAAGCCAAGAAATACTGTATAGTATATTAAAAATTCATTAAACAGAAGGTCACTTGGCTACTGGTGTCATGAAGAAAACCTTATCTAAAGCCAAGTTGATGAACCTTAAAAGGGAGTGAAGAATTTGTACTATGGTTTACAAAATGACAATTCTATGCAACTATGCCAGCTATCTGAGAGGGTAGATTAAATTTGAGTTAAAGGTTACTAATATTTAAAATCAAATTTCAAAGCTCTACAAAGTTATCCTAATGGACAGTAAATTCTGTTCAAAATAATTTTACTCCTTTGTACAATGTTGTTTGACAAATAAGTTATGCACACAATAGTGGAAGAACTTCCACAAGAATTTATGCTCGTACAATTAAGTATAAAAATTCTTCCGGACCACCATATTTTAGCATGGGTTTTGTATGAAAAGTCATATTTTAGAAAAGAAATTATAAACATTTTTTAAGTCAATAACTAAACTGGAAAGTATACACACAGATTATTATTACATGTATTATCCATAATATTATCTATTTATAAATCATTATGTTCCCATCAACCTTCATTTCCTTTTTGTGATTTCATTGTTATTACTTTTTAATTTTATGTATCCTACATATTTATAAATGAAGCTAAATTGTTTCAATGTGTATTAAAACGCTTAAAATTCCACTCTGTATAATTATTATTGTTTGGCATAAAGTGAATATTATTATTATGTTAAAAAAATCTTCAGTCAGCGTATGATACTACGCAATTAAATCAATTACAATCCAATGACTCACTCACCTAAATAGTGCGTCGGTGGCACATCGGTTAGGACTCTCGCCGACTATGCACATGGTCCGGAATTCGACCCCCCGCCGACGCACACCTGATATCTATGGTCGGCCTGCAAAATTTGGGCTACCGATATCACATGCTGAAAATTTCATACTTGTACCAAAAATACGGTGTGGAATCATGCTATAATCAAAATAATTAAAATTAATAAAATAAAAAAGTGATTTAGTCCTTTATATATTCATTTGCATTTTGAAAACCTTGATACGGAAATTTTTCAGCCTCTGAGGCATGGTTGACTTAGGCTGTAATATAAGAAGCCAAACAAACGACACTCCAAGATTATGCAAATATTAACTCTTTTTCCCACAATTCCCATACTCAGTTTCTCTTATGTAACGTTGAGTAATTCAATAATGTTTTTCAATAAGCTTTGAAAATAATAATAATATCATAATAAGTTGTCTATTGGAATAAATCAAACTCAAAGTAGGTGTTTAGCGTGCTTATCAACGTTACCTATTTCATCGTCCGCCCTAATATTTATTCTTAGAAACTATCTGGTATTTATGTCTTTGATCCTTTCAACTATCTTTTGAATAGAGGTATTATTCAATAGTTGACTGACACGAAATCACCGTGGATCTTTGTCTTAAACGCTTATATATATATTTTTCTAGTCAGTATATGTATATTTCTCGTTTTTCTTGTGATGATTATTTGGCCTTTATTGTTTGTTTACGCGTGTTTCCTTGATGCAAATTAGAGTGATATGTACTTTTATTCCTATACATTTCACATTCATTCTATTGTATGTATTAAAATTTCCTTCTTGAATGAATAAGGGTTTCCTTGTTATTGTTTAAAATTTGTAATTCTTCATAACTTCATTGTTTAAAGTAAATAATAATTTAGGTGAAAAACAATTTTTTCCTGAGAAATTACGATGGTCAACATCATATAATGAAAAGTATAATTAATTTTTGTGGAATAGAGGTTTTGTGTGCATTTCGGATTGTGAGGGCGTTTGTTACTTCCCGGCTGCCCACACCGTGGAAGTTGGTTGCGTGACCGCAGAGCCCAGGGGACAACTGCTTGAGGCCGGTCAAACGCGGCCTGTTTTTGTTCTTTGTTTGGTGTGCCTCAGTAGCATACTTATCACTCCTGCCCTGTGACACGGCAGCAGGAAGCGCGGTCGTTGTTAATCCGGGCCACGGACGATCCGGCATGAAATTTTGTGAATTTGTTTGAATCATGGTATTGGATGGGGTAGCTGCTTTTTGTTTAACCGCTATCCAAACAACCTGCCTGGCATGGTAGAACCTCAAGAGACATAAGTCTCAGCCAGTATAGCTTGATTAGGTCATTGCGGTGTTCAATAGTGGAATAGCTATCAATTGTTAAAGACTTGCACAATTAAGTACATGCACAACGCTTACTTGATTATAGATTGGCTTGTCCGTCAGGTAGAAGTGCTTCTGATGTATTTATCGACATTCTTGAAGCTCTCTCTATAAACAGTCTCAGATTGAATAATTAATTGTCACTTTCCCGCATAAACCTTCATTAATCTTTCTTTCTTCCACATAAGTAAATTTATAAGTGTCTACAGGAATGATAAACAATATTAAAACAAATAAAACCTTATAAATCTATTTACGGTAATATAACTCTCTTCCAACTGAAGTCGAAATATATTTCTGATACTGCATTCGACTAACTTAGCTAATCAATGTTTAACTTTCGACCTTGAAGTGTCCACATATTTTTGGAGATACTGAACATTAATTTGTGATTACATTGGTTAGTAAAGCTAGACAGTGTGATTGGATGTCGTACGAGTGACATAAAATGCGGATCTCATTTACTTTGTGATACATTTGAACGCAGATGCCACACCTTATCTTCAAATCACCATTTGTACAGTTCTTCTGTATTGTCCAATTTTTAGCCTTCATATTGTGCTTCTTTGTGTTCTTTTCACACCTCCCATGTTTCTTTTCAACGTCGAATCATTTGCTTCATCTGACGTCAAATCTATCTCCTTTCTGTTTGATGTTTTTCATGCCAACGAACGTCTCTTTGTATACTACTGATAAATTTTATCAGTAGCACGCGCCACACCACCATCAAGGAGGAGGCTATCGAAAACCAAGGAACACTGAGAGGTTGTTTCGTCCTAGTGTGAAACTGTTCAGTGTGATTCAAGTCCATCCCTTCATTAAATATCACTTTCAGGACTGTCACGTCCTGGTGACAAATTCTGTCTATTTATCATATTCAATGTAATTAGTGAGTAACTTTCGATACGTGACTTGGTGTACTTCAAGAGGCTTTATTTTTTGTTAGGACTCCGTGAAATCCACCTATAATTTGCTTGTTGTTTCGGGAAATCAAATCAAATTTCAGACTCATTGAGAATTAATTTTATTAAATTGTTTTTATTAGGGTGATGAAAATAAACCTGGTGATATTCCACAATATGAAACTTCAGAAGAAAAAAACAACAGAAATAATAATGAACCCTTAACAATAGTAAGTAAGCATCTTTTTTATGATTTATACACTTTTGTTAGTTAGGATACTGATTTCTTCCTTAGAATAGTGGGCCACAGTGTTTAGTTGTCATAACATTTGTAAATTATTACTCATTTTATTTCATAAAACCTTTTAGGAGTACGATCGTTTAGTCTACCCAAAGAAGAGTATGATGAACAGGATTCAATTAGTATTATCCTGCCTTAGTGGAGATTTTTGAAGCAAGTTTCATCAGCAGCTAGTGCACTTCAATAAAATATCCATAAAGGTTAGAAGGTAGCCTGTGGTCATCGAAACTCGTTATACATTTGGTTACAGGATTTCATCATGAGCTGACATTAATAAGAGAACCATTGGAAAACCTGGGAGTACTGAACACCTGTTTCGTTCTAGGTCGGGACTCTTCACCAGTACGCACCCACCGGGATTCCAACCCAGGACCTTCCGGTTACAAGGCGAGCTCGTATACTATTAGACCACTGGAACCCGATCCAATGGCCCACGAATTCTAACTTCTACCAATTCACGACATAGCGCGACCCCAGCCAATGTCTTCGGTGAGTATTTGTCTTCACGCCCGACCTGCTACACCCTACTGGTTACAACTTCTTACTAGAACCCCAGGTAACTACCTACCTGAATAGGGCAAGTCGCTAGTGAACATCTCATTGATATTCAAGTTTTGGTTTGTAGGGATTTGATTGGTTACAGGATTTCATCATGAGCTGACATTAGTTAAAGAACCATTGGAAAACCTGGGAGTATGGGGCAGCTGTTTCGTCCTAGTTTGGGATTCTTCATCAGTACGCACCCACCGGTATACGAGCCCGCTTTATAACCGGAAGGTCCTGAGTTCGAATCCTGGTGGGTGCGTACTGGTGAAGATTCCTGACCTAGAACGAAACAGGTGTTCAGTACTCCCAGGTTTTCCAATGGTTCACTTACTAATGTCAGCTCATGATGAAATCCTGTAAACCAATCAAATCCCTACAAACCAACGCTTGAATATCTTTATACATTTGTTTGGCGAATTCGATTTAATATTCTAATTTCGGTACATCACCTACAAATTACCTAGTATTCAATTACATCAAGTTAATGTTGGCTTACTTGACTTATTCTTTGTTTATAATTCACCATGTTGGTTTAAATCAGGCCAAACCAATGTAAACCACTGGTGTATTTTACTGTCATCAAAAATCGTCGAATTCGAGCTAGTTGGTTTCAAATTTGACCTTCGTCTGTCTGAGTGAATGGTTTGAATTTGTCTTACTCTGATTTAATTTGTTCAGCTTCCTGAAATCGGTTACTTTTATGCAACAGATGTCATTCATATTCACCGTTTGTGTGTTTGCATTACGCACACACTCTCATAAAAGACTGATAAAGGAGATGAAGTGTAACTTATTATTGTAGTCATTCAACTTTCAATATCTCGGGATTCAGCCAGTGAGCTGATATCATCAAGTCATTTGCACTATACATAACTTATTGTTAACTCCGTGAACATGTTCATAGCTGTTTGTAAACAATAAAAATATAATTTGCTTACTTATTTCTTTTTATCGTTTTCAATTTTCAGTCACATAATTCTTCTTATCTGAGTGGAGTAATACCTTATCTGGGTGTATTTCTCAGTGATTTAACTTTACTACATCATTCATCACCGGATTATGTGAGCAGATCTAAATATCAATCTAATCATCAAAATAATACTGGCAATCGTATTGGTAATAGTAATAATGCATCACCAGTTCTCAATTCATCAAATAAAAATAATACTAATAACACTATTCCTTCTATTCAAATAGACAAAAATCATGACAATACAACTGATCGATTGATATATGTATCGAATCCACTTTCTAGTTTTGCACGAAGTACACCGAATTTATTATCACCTCAGTCATATGATCGTATGAATAGTAATAATAACATCAAACAATCTACCAAATTAGTGAAAATTATATCGCCTACACCATTAATTTCCGATAGTCGTAGCAGTAATTCTCGGACGGTTGAAGATGTTAAAGTAAGCTATTGATTTAATTATTGTTTATAACTGTTGTATTATCGTTGTAGTGTTTTGCCTTATGTGATAAAGTTCAAATTGAAATTTGTAGATATATGAAGACTGTGGTGTTGTAGCTCGGTGGATTAGGCACCCTACAGGTAATCATTGGGTCACAGATTCAAACCCTGCTTTAACTGCCTTCCAGGTAACCCCATGAGTTCTCACACACAATATGTGTGGCTCGTTGTGAAATGCATTAAGATGCTCAAGATTATTCAGTAGAAGTGGAATTGTGCATATAGACGTGTGTAGGCGGTTATTACTTCCCGACTGCCCACACCGTGGAATTTGGTTTCTTCTCGGGATACCTGAAACAGAGAAGTATTAGTATTGTGTGACAGCAGAGCCAATGGGACAAGTGCTTGAAGCCGGTTACACATGGTCTGTTTGAAGTGGCTTTTCTATTTGAGTCCGTATTAAGATCTTACCGCCGGCTACGGACCGCTGCAAGGTAAGTCAGGATCTACTATTTTAGGTCCCGACCTTTCCTGACCCTCCTCTCTCTCCAGAGCGAAGAGTTAGCATAGCTAGTCATCTGAGGGACACACCTTACTGCCGTTACATCCTTATTTGCCAGCAGTACAACTTGACTCTCAGACCCTCTTATGGACCTGTTGCTAACTGATATGATCTCGTTGACAGCTGATGCAACCGATTAGACTGGTGCTTAAGTATGATAATGCTGACGCAATAAACAACTCGAATGATATGCTAGATACACGTGTTCGTTCTTAGCACCTTTCTCTTCACTGGGCCAAGTAAATATCAGAAGACAAAGACTAGTCTGTGACTGTTACGATACGATTTTTATGAGGAAAAACACATCATATTTATATATATTTCACCACATTAAAATCAGCCCGAGGCAGTGGAAATGGATTGTTCTGGTTGGCTGGCAATTCGACTAAGATAGGCGAAAATGAATATTCTGATTGATCGGCTATCTGACCAAGACCACAGTGAGAAAAAGATGATGAAATTTTATAGTCATCCGACCACATGATGAATTACATGATGAGTCGTAAGATGATTATTACTTTACGCTGATTTTCATCAGACCTCGAATATAGTGTAAACGACTCACATCATGATGGTAACCGCTTTTTAGTGTAGATACTATCCAGACCACCTTTCTGATGTGTTAAGACCTGCAGTAACGTAAGTCCCATCCGGTGTAGCTGTTTGCGTCATTGTGATGTGCAAATACGACTACGACGTCAACGTCGCAGTTATCAGTTGATTTACACAATTGTAATTATATCTATGCAAATGTCCCTCTGGTTTAATTACTCAGGTATTCCAGTGACATATATGAGCAGTCATAACGACGCAGTTCATTTATCTATCGGAATTTTTTTGAAAATTGATTATTAGTCACACTTGATTTGTGGATAACTTGTGACACTAAGTCTGTATCTGCACTCACTCTTGAGAGTGAACCGCTTGAAGTTGTTGATAAGTTTGTGCACCTGGGTAGTTGTGTGAGTACTGGCGGAGGGTTGACGGATGAGATTTCCAATCGTATAATGAAGGCTAGAGGGGCATACATCAACTTGAGCCACCTCTGGCGCCGTTGCGACGTTAGCCTGGCTGTCAAAGGTCGGGTATACAATGCTTCGGTGCGGGCTGCGCTGCTCTACGCCTGTGAAACCTGTCCTCTCCGAGCTGAGGATGTGCGGCGACTCTGTGTGTTCGCTCATCGATGTCTCCGCAGGATTGCCTGCGTTCGGTGGTATCATCGCGTGAGCAATTCTGAGGTTCGGCGGCGTGTGTTTGAACACAGTGGAGATCACCATTCATTGAGTGTCGTCATCTGGAAACACCGGCTCCGGTGGCTTGGACATGTGCTCCGAATGTCATCCCAGAGGCTTCCGTACAGGTCTCTGTTCTCTGGTCAGCCCTGGGACGGGATGGAAAAGGCGGAGAGGTGGTCAGTTCATGACGTGGCGTCGTAGGACGAGGGATGTTTGTGCTAAACTAGCGTCGGTTGGTGTGTCACGACTCCCTGGTTGGGGTCCGAGAGATAGCTCGAATCGATGGCTCGAAACGTTATCGGATATGGCCAAGAGTCGTAATCAATGGCGAACGTGTTGCGATTTCCTTCTTTCTTCCCTTCCCGATGATAGTTGACGAATACTGTTCGAACTTGTTAAGCATTACTGTTTTCCTTCCAGATGAAGTTCTTTATCCGTTGTCTACTTATATTTTTACTTTTAATCCATGTTGTTTTTTTATTATTGTGTGGCGCATCTTTCTTGGTGCCATATTGTACCAAGTTTTTTTTCTGCGTTTAAATAAAAATGTGACACTGAAAAATGATACTTTCTTGAAACGTCGCTTAATTCTGAACCCTTCCGCAAAGCGAAACCACAATTTCGTTAGGGATGAAGTCCAAAACCATATGCTTTTGCAAGCAATTAATATGTTAGTACTATTCAGTTGCTGACTGGGAATTCCTACTCCTGTCGATTCTTGCTATTATTGTCTTGATGATTAATTTTACTCACAGTCGACAACCGCTTTCAATGTTTCTGTGACAAATGCACACTTGTAACGAAATATGCATTGAGGTCTTATTGTCTTGGATATCTCTTTGACTTTTATCCCCAAATCGATAGTTACTTGTCTAAATTACTAGCAGTATATATTTCGCTAATGAATCTAAAGTGTCATTTAAAAAGGAATATTGACAAGTTTGGTTACACTATATGAATGGAGGCTATATATATCCATCAATATTTTGATAGATAACACTATAACACGTGTAGCTCTGACTTGTAGTCTCAAACTAAATTAGAAATAGTACAAACTACTAACAAATATAAGAAGGTACTAAAAATATTTTCTAAATATCACTACCAATTAACAATTAAGTTTAATAGCAACTACTTTGATAACTAAATCTATTCGACTGAAATCACGGCTTCAACAGCACTTTTCCATTTCAATCTGTTCTTTGCAGCTCCCCTTAGCTGCCTCCGTGAGTACTTTTTTGATTACATCTTAATTCCACACTGTATTTTTTGGTACAGATATAGAATTTTCAGCATGTGATATCGGTAGCCCAAATTTTGCAGGCAGACCATAGATATCAGGTGTGCGTCGGCAGGGGATCGAACCTCAGACCATGTGCGTGGTCGACGAAAGTCCTAACCGCTGCGCGACCGACGCATACAAAAGAGGGGAGGCGGTTTCTACGTGTGGACCGAGCTGTCACATGGCCATCATTCACAGGCGCTATCCCGCTGCCGCACCACGCGGGGACTTTTGCCTGCTGAGTTTCCCCCCCCCTTCGGGCCGGTGCGCCCCTCCTTAGTCGACCTGGACAACCCGTTCTCCGACAGGTCATCCATATCCGCACCGTGGTTAGCGTGGATGCCCGATCAACATTAGCACCCATGTGCCAGAACTCCCTGTCCCGTGAAATTCCTCACCCTCGCCTCCAAGTAGCTAGATCACATGCGCACGCCACCAAGCCCAGAGTACCTGTATTCGTTAATCTCCTCCTCATGTGATGTTGTTCAACGGTCTCCTCAGAATGTTTCTGATCCATCTCCATTTCCTTTCGGTATATTTGTTAGAAAACAGATTCTTGATTGGTTCCTTGTTGCTAATCCTTTCTGGTCAACTGTCTGATCTTCCGTATGAAACCAGTGGAAGCAGTTGTTGATAAAAGTCTGCAGCCTGTTGGAAATGTCTCTGATAATCTGACAAGTCTTTGAACCATTTAGATTTCCTGACTGACTTGTCATTATTGTTGAAAATCTAAATCTTGTTCTTTACTCTGAGTGCAAAAGATTTCCAGCCTGACTTAAAATTAATGGCTTTTGTTGATTTTCCTATCCTGTTTGGTTTCGACATCTTCATCATTAGTACCCTTTGTAGTTTATAAATTTCCGTGTTAACCATTTTAAATGTTATTTTTAAGCGCATCACTTTGTTGTACTTTTCAATCATTATTAACACATATTACCAAGTTGTTTTTCATTAAATAGAAAAATCGATAGTTTATTTCATCTATTTATCTGTAAAGAAGAATACGTCTTCACGTGTTTCATCCCAAATATTGAGTATATCATTGTTTTATGCATATAATCAAAGTAGCCTTGAGAATAGTATAGCTAACTAGCTAGCTAGCTAGCCAACAAAGCTGTAAAAGCTGAGGGTTAAGATAATCTCCTTTTCTATTCATAATAATAACTGGTGACAGAAACAGTCATATGATTAATGGTAAAATACTACTTACTACTGTTACTAATACACTACTAATAAAATGATTAAAAAGATATAAGAACTCATTAGTTTTTTTTCTCTAGTTTCTCTAGTTCAATATTTTGGGTCTTCTTTTCTTTTGCTTCTTACTTTTTTGTACTTTTTTTTCCAGATAATGTGACTATTCATGTGATCATTATGTTTCAACATCTTATTTCTTTAATCTTGTGAAAGTACGTTATATATATATACCTGTTAATTTGAACCAGTGGTTCAAACGCTAATAAGCGTACTCTTTTGATGATATTAGATGATTGGAGGCAATCGACAGGAAGCCTTTGACCTAGGTTTCGTGTTAGTTGGCACTTGTCATCAAGGTGTATCTGCAACGTTGAAGGTTTCCTGCCGATTGCCTCCAACCATCTGATATAATCAAATCAATGTGTACCATGATGGCGAGCTTCCTAGAATGGTGGCCACATTCCAAACCTGATTGATAAAATGTAGTCTGCACCAAAGATAAGACTAGATACATCACACTACTTACTAGTATCCAATGAAAGTATATTCCTTGCCCAAAATTTTGTAGATCATTGCTGATTGTAATCCTCCGGTATTATATTGACTTTTTCTTCCTTCTTATTGATTTTTATGTACCTCAAACATATTGGAAAAAATTGCATAATCTAGAAATATTCCTTTGTTATAATTAAAATAAACAGTTTGTCTTGGCTAGACTTTCTAAAGATGAATCTTTTTTACTTTACTTTACTTACTTAATGATTGCGAAGCGTTTTCTCTCAGGTAAGAGGAATAACAGATATCCTGTGCTAGAGTGTGCGATAAAACAGTTTATTTGTATAGTGTCGTGATCACATAGCACCACTTGACTCTGTCAATCCTCAATAGAATGAGGCTCTGATAACTCTATATTACCTAATCGAGTAATCTAGTAGTTGAGGCTATGCAGTTATCGACGCCTTATGCACTTAAAGAGTTTTGAGTCCACTATGTAGCATTGCATTTATTCTTACGATATAGTGGGAGGGCTTTAACTATTTGTCTATTATTATACTTGCAATATTACCTAAAATGGAGGAAATTATCATACAAACAGTCAAATGGTTCAATTTTGAGTTGTGAATAAAAAGACTGAGTCAGGTAATGTAATCGTGACTTCCTTCGGCTAAGGTGGTGGGGTGGGTACATGTTTTTCCCCATTTCCATCAACAGTGAATGTTGACTGATGTAGATTTACTTGTCTAAATCAAGACACACGTCTTCCTAGGTGACATGTGGCAGATGAAACTAATAACCAGGAATTTCTTTGTTTGACATCACTTGAAAACAGTCCCACAAAGGATCAAACTTAAGCATATTATTTGTTCACCGCTCTGTGACCTCATAGCCCTAAATTTGACGCCTCATGTGGTCATGAGTGTTGTGTTACTGAATAGTCTTAAACTAAGAAAAAGCAACTGGCCAGTTCTTCTTGGTTCCTAGTAGTTGTCTCTACTTTAATTTTTATTGAAATCTGCTTTATGCGTATTTTTCTTGTCTACACAACACGTCTCTCATCACAATTATCGGTATAATAACTTTTAAGTTAAATGGAGTGACAATTACTTTTTTGTGATTGGCAAAATTATTTATTTTTTACAGAAGATTGTCATTCACTTTAGGTAACTAAATCTTAAGTTGCTTTAATTCGTTGAATGCATTGTTAGCGTTATAAAGGTATTTGTGTTCACACTTGTAAAACCTACTTTCTCTGTTATGAAATTATTGTTGTAAGTTATACTTACTTAATCTAATCAATATATATACATGGTTGACTGTGCAGTGGTATATGTAGCATTTTGCACCTTAATTTCGGCTTTGATGACTGTTGATTCGCAATCGCAGTTTTGTGTGTATAACACATGTCCTCAAAGTGTCTATGTATTTCTAATTGAATGGTCATAGCATAAACCTGCCAATCACGTTAAGGCTATTTAAAATTTGGATTTCAGTTACTTTGAATTACTCTGTGTGTACGAGATATGGAATTATAGTCTTTTATTTTAAAGAGATTTAAGAAGGTGACGGTTATATGTTTGTAGTGTTTCTGAGGTTCTGAGGTTTCAAATAGAGATTACCGGTATTTTCCTTAGCAATCTAGTCTCAACTTCCTCAGAGAAGTAATCAAGATTTAAAACTTCGAAAGTACATAAATTAGGTTAAAACCTCATATTCTATTACCTTCTTCAGTCATTTTAAAGCTTTGAATTGTACTCAAACATAAATATTCATTCTGTACTAATTGTAATTGTCTGATCATACTTAAATTTGTGTGTCGGATAAAAGTCATGGTGACGTGATGACCGTAAAACGCGGGTGACATTTTCCAATGACATCGGCATAGTTCAAATGTGATAACGAATCGTATTCAATGTGTCTGAATAAAACACTAGCCAACAGTGATGCTTATTCCACTCTGTGTACTATTCGATTACACCTTTTTTTTAAATAGAAATATGAGATTTCTCTCTTTCACTGAAGAAGCCAGTGGCTTACACAGCAAGATATTTAGAGAAATTTTTTTAATGATTTTGTTATCACTTGTGGATTATATTAGGTAATTTCATAATACATTCTTTTTCAAAACATATAATTCTCAAGAATCGGTTTTTGTAGGGATTTCATTTGTATCAGGTTGGGCCACGGATTGATATCAGTTAGAGAACCAATGAAAACAAGGGAGTACTGGACAGCTGTCTCATTCTAGTTTGGGAATCATCACTGGGTTTCGAACTCAGGACTCTCCGGTTACAAAGCGAGCTCGTAGACCATTTAGCCACTGGGACCCGATTCAATGGCCCACGAATTCTAACTCCCACCAATTCGTGACTTTTAACACGACCACCAACCAATGAAATCGGCAAGAACTCCATGATCACTCCCAACTGGATGGGCCATTGAATGGAGTCCCAGTGGCTTAATGGTCTACGGGCTCTCCTTGTCACGGGAAGGTCCTAGGTTAGAAACTCAGTGGGTGAGTACTGATGATGAGTCCCAAACTAAGATGAAACAGCAGCCGTTCAGTACTCCCTGGTTTTCAATGTTTCTCTAACTGATATTAATCCGTGGTCTAACCTGAAACGGATAGTTCTCCTTACAAGATTATGGATTCACCTATGTTTACAGAAGGCAGGTGTTAGTTGTCCTGTTGGTTACATGCAGCAAATATGATTACTAATGATAATGACAACTATTATATAATGAAAACATATTCTGCTTTTACTGATGATAAAAGCTTTCAATACAACGTTAAACATGGATGTTTATCATGATATTATCAACCCGCGTTAACGTTGAATTCACGTTGAAACTTCAACTTGCACAAAGTAGTCGTGTTTAACCTTCAACTTTATTTCCTGATCTGCTGTTTTTTTTTTGTCATTTCATACTTCCTATATTGATCCACAGTTTCCTTCATTTCTTTAATTTTTTTTATCTTCATCTGTTGTTTCCTGGTTCCAAATTTTTACAAAAGGTGTCACTTTATATACTACTTGCAAACTCTTGTCAGTAGCAAACGCGCAACAACACTACCTGAATATAAATCTTATCTCTCTGAATATTGAATTCACCTTGTAACTTCACGTTGCCCTGGTTATTAACGTTAGTGATTTAAAGTATCGATAGGAATGACATAAAATCAAAATGTAAACAAGTTAATTAGCAACATATTTCAAATATGTACAAAGTTCATTGTATTTCTTGAAATATAAGTCGGCATCTTTATTAAAACACAAATAAATAAATAAATAACAGACGCTAATTCTTCGGTTACTTACATGCATACTGCATCTCTGGCTTTTGATTGCCAGCACCCCACTCTCACCTCCCATGAAGAAATCCGAAGATGAATTCATATAATAACCGTACTGATATGATGTTTTAATCAATAAGCCTCTACAAAGATTAAAGTTGTGCTTAAATAATTTTCTGTTCAGTATCTGAAATGATGATCGTCTGTCTCTTATAATCCTATAATTTTTTTATTTATTTATTTTTATTTTTGGTAACAGCTTGATTCCACACTGTATTTTTGGTACAAGTATGGAATTTTCAGCGTGGATATCGGTAGCCCAAATTTTTGCAGGCCGACCATAGATATCTGGTGTGCGCCGGTGTGGGCTCGAACCCTGGACCATGTGCATGGTCGTCGAGAGTCCTAACCACTGTGCCACCACGATACTGATGAATGCTGTCACACAAATTAGTGTTTTGTTCAATGGACAAACATTTAAAATATACTTTTTTTGTAAATTACAACTGTATTACTGCATGTGCGTCGGTGGCATAACGGTTAGGACACTCGCCGACCATGCACATGGTCCGGGGTTCGATCCCCGGCCGACGCACACCTTTACCTCGCTAAGCCAGAAAAATTGCTGGTAAAGAGGAAAGGTTGGGCATGAGACGCTAGCAACCCCATCCTATAAAATAAACACTGCTAGAGAAACTTCAAGCCATTAGCTTGAAGCCCTATGGTCCACTGGGGAACATGAAGGATAAATAAAATTACTGCATGAATGTCTTATTAAATTGCATTTTGTGTTTATCATGAAAAGTCTGTAAAAGCTGAAACTTTAGAGATACATTTGTTGAATAGTACTCATATGAATTGTTTTAGTTAATATTATCTGAGAGTGGTGTCACTGTTGCTGTCTTTTTTTCTCTCTCTCCATATTAATCTATTTACATTTTATATTTGTAAAGAAGACAAAATCTAGTCGTTCAAGACGTCATTCTACCACTGATAATAATAATGACGAGAAACTGATCAATCTGGATAAACACAGACGAGAGTTTAAAATATTGGCAAATCTTTTCCTTCTACAACAAAATGCTCAGTTATATTCACTTAGACCTGAACCAGACTTTGAGTTATGGTTTCAGTCATATCCATTGATAACTGAAAAAGAAGCGTAAGTTTTACTTTTTTTTTATTGCTAATTGTGACAGATTTATTATTTCAAGTTTAATTGCAAACTGACTTCAGTTAGGGGAAAACCGTTGACTACTAAGCAGCTGTTTTATCTTAGTTTGAAATTGTTCAAAAGTCTTACGCACCCTTAACCGCGTTAGAGATTAAATCCAAGACCTTCGATTTGCAAGCTGAGTTCGTTGATTACTCTGCCATGGATACGAAACTCAATATTATATATGTCCAAACCAAGTTCACTTTTAACGGTTTGAAAAAATTTGGGCATTGGGTATATGAAATTGGGAAATACAAAAACCTCTATTATAACGAAACTCAATAGTTTGTGAATTCTGACTTCTATCAATTCATGATTTTTAGCACCACCGCCAGCCAACCAGTGTCATAGGTGAAGATCTGTTCTCACATCCGAGTTGGTGAACTCCTCTTGTTCACAACTTCATTGTTTTGTGTAATAAGGTATCCGATTCTCACTAGCGACAGCCTTTATTCAGGGGTTCTAGTGGGAAGTCCTAACCAGTAGGGTACAGCGGGTTGAAGGTGAAACAGTAACTGAAGTGGTCACGCCATGTCATAAATTGGCAGAAGTTAGAGTTCATGGGTTGGTCATTGGATTGGGTCCCAGTGGCTTAATGGTCTACGAGCTCACTAGTCTTGTAACCTGAAGGTCCTAGGTTCAAACCCTTGTGGTGGGTGCGTACTGTTACAGAGTCCCAAACTAGGACGAAACAATTAGTTGTCCATTACTCCCTGCAGGTTTTCCAATGGTTCTCTAACTGATTTCAGCTCATGGTGAAATCCTCTAATCAATCAAATGAAACCCTACAAAACCAATACTTCATAATAGGTTATTAATATGTCAACCTGAAGCAATCAGTAACTGTTATAGGGTTATTTCATGATATCTTCGTTTTCGCCATAAAGAGTACTTATAGGTTTTCCAAAGAACATCTACCCTACATGATTAAGTGTAATGATGAAATAATCTACCTAAACAGCCTAAACAATGGATAATTTCAGAGCAGTTTTCCCGTATGATTTTATATCATATAGAGATTTCGAACTAGAATAGTATACCGAAAATAATTCAATGAACTTGGATGTCGTCTATATGAATATGCATATAAGGTGGTAACCTCTTATCTCTCTAAGTTAAATATGCGAAAGACGTTATTTCCACGTTAATTTTGTTCTTGATAATTTCAGCCTTCTTCGTTCTTGTGATATGGAACCAGATGATGAACAACTACAACAAATGAACAGACCCTTTAGGTGAGTATAATTCAGTTAATGTTGTGTATGTTAGTTAGATTTTATTAAATAGTCTTTTCGTGTGGAATATTAAGATACATTTGAAACCTTGAAGCAAAGTAAATGGAATGGTATTCTGATATGTTAAACCATATTAGACTTTAGTTCATCTTATAGTGTATTAAAATGAACACTCATAGAAGTTTTATCAACCCTGAAATTGTGGTTCATCTGCCTTAAATCAGTGACTGACTTGGTTTCAACATAGTACTCTGTACAGAAGTGCAACGGCGTTCAACTTGCCATATTCCATTTATCACAGAAAGGTAGAGAAAAGAGAGGGAGAAAGAACTATATAATAAGCAGGAATGTACAGGAGAAAAGATAGTGAAATGGGAAAACATGATGATTTAGTGGACATACGATATTACATAGAGTGAATACATCTGTACCACTGAGAACGATTTTGATCCATATCTCCAATAGTCTCTAGTTATTGGTTCTAAGTATTCCGAGAACTCCGTCCGGATAGTCTACGCTTCTCTTTTTTTTCTTTTTTTTATTCCTTTACGTTCCCAGGGGAACATTGGGCTTCAAGCTAGAGTCTTGAAGTTTCTGCAGCATTGGTGATTATTTTTACGGGATGGGGTCGCTCTTGCCTCATGCCCAACCTTTCCCCTTTACCAGTCTTATTACTGGTTTGGCGAGGTAGAGGAGTGCGTCGACCGGGGATCGAACCCCAGACCACCTATGTGGTTGGCGAGCTCTCTACCGCTGTGCCACCGACGCACCTACACTTCTCTACACGGTTCAAACCGACTGTCAAAGATTTCAAGATTTGATCCCTTTCCTAACTTAATCCTATGTCAGCTAACATTATTTGACGAGTAAGGCAGTGGCTGTGCATGCATTCTCGAGTAAATGAAGTAGATTCAAATTCTAAAGACTCATCAATGCCAGCTAACACTATCAGCTTTTCGGACTGACTAACTGAATACTGATTCTGATTTCTTACAATACATGATAATTTTCTATAGTTTGGTTTGTAAGGGTTAGTTATGTTTTTTACGAGTTGATCACGGATTGATATCAGTTAGAGAACCATTGAAAACCAGGGAGCACTGGACAGCTGCTGTTTTATCCTAGTTTAGGAATCATCGGCAGTACGCACCCACTGGGATTCGAACCCGGGACCTTCCGGTTACAAGGCAAGCTCGTATACCATTCAGTTAGAATTCATAAGGCCCCGGTTTCGAATCCCAGTGGGTGCGTACTGCCGATGATTCCCAAACTAGGATAAAACAGCATTTGTCCAGTGCTCCCTGGTTTTCAATGGTTCTCTAACTGATATCAATCCGTGATCAACTCGTAAAAATACATGATAATCGTTGTGATCAATTGCAGGAAAAAAACTTAATGAAGATGAATTTATGTTTATTAAATGGTTAGTTCAAGTTATTGCTATTTTGGAGTGAATTCAGAAATCGCTCTAAAATATTCGGTTTTAATGGCACTTCAATTTGTCATTCTATTGTGTACGTGAATATATTATCATTATTATTTTTTATTGTGCTTTGTTATCTAACCATTAAATGGTTTTAATTCATAGATAAGCTTTGTAAATGTAGTCATTTCTGACTTGAGTCTATACGTTTCTGTAAGTTGGTGGTCAATCGTATGTCTCAGAGTCTAGCATTGTGGTACTCACTGTTTACTATTGTATTCTTATTGCTTCTTTTCTCTCGCTTATTTTGTTAATTTCTTATCATATAGTTGAAAAGGACAATGATCTAAACTGAATAAACTACTCCTTCTGACTTTTTGATCTTGATAACCTAATTTATTTCATCTCATGAAGAAGCGCATTACAGGAATTAAAGTGTTTCAATGTCCCCTGATATGTTTTTTTTCCAGTACCAATAGATGACACATCAGTGCGTCGGTGGTTAGGCAGTAGAATGCTCACCAACTATGCATGTGGTCTGGGGTTCGATCCCTGGCCGACACATTCCTAAACTTCAATAAGCCGGTAGTAATACCGGTAAGGAGGAAAGATTGGGCGCGAGCCTAGCAAACCCACCTTGTGAAAATGAAACCACTACTGCTGAAACTTCAGAGTTCTAGCTTGGAGCCGTATGTTGCAGTGGGAATGTATAAGAATTAATTGATAGTAAGTGAAAATAATAGACACTACATCATTGAATTATAGTGAATAAATATGGGATGTCTTGTTAGTTTATTAATGTTACCTCGTGACGAAAATAACCTCTAGGTTAGTGAAATCCTAAAACCTCCTATTTAAATACTGATATGTCTTTCATCAGTCAAACTGAGATTTAAATTGTTACTCTCAGTAGTAAGACTATGCCATAATAAAGACACTAGCGATTCCTTCAAAGAAAAAACTGTACCTAATGGCTTAACCACCTGACCTATAAGGAATAAGCTCCAAGTTCAAATATCACTCGATCTATTCTCCCCTAGACACAACTATGTTTTTGTTTCATAAGTACTTTTAAATATTGAGATTGATAGAGTAGTATGTCAAGGTACTTCCATTGTTCATTATCATAGTAACAGAAGATAGTTGTCTTAGACATTAGACGTTTTTAATTTAAATGGGATACCCACCCGTCCGAAAGAAAAAAAAAAAAAAAAAAAAAGAGGGTGGAAAAAGGAAAAAAAAAAAAAAAATTTTAAAACAGGGGGGTGCCCGAAAGGTTTTGCCTCCCAATTTTTCCAATTTTTCCCCCGGCCCCCCGGAATTTGGTTCCAATTGGTTTTTCCAATTTTTTTTCCCCTTTTTCCAGTCTGACCCTATATCCGCTAACATAGCTCGTCGAGGGAGGCGATGGCTTGGCATACGTAACACATGTCCTAACCATCTCAGTCTTTGTAGCTTCACGACTTCGTCGATTGATTGACATTAGACGTAATGCATGTCAACTCGTATATTGAGGTTCGAAATTAAGGTAGTTGCTCATTACGTGAACGTTTGAAGCAAAAACAAATATATAAGAAGGACTTAAGTGATAAATCATAATCCTAACTGTCTTTTCAATATCCATCCCATACATGGGATAGAAAACCCAAGTTATTAGGGTTCAAGTGTGTCGGTGGTATAGCGGTTAGGACGCTCGCCCACCTTGCACATGGTCCGGGGTTCGGTCACCGGCTGACGCACACCTTTACCTCGGTAAAGAGGAAAGGTTGGACATGAGGTTAGCAACCCCATCGTGTAAAATAAACACTGCTACGTAAACTTCAAGCATTTAGCTTGAAGCCCTATGTTCCACTGGAGAACGTGAAGGAAAAAAATAAGGTTCAAATGCAAAGGGTGTTAGGTAATAAAGATAGATGGTGACTGTCGACTAACTTAGTTGGTCTAGACATAAGTCATACGTTGCAGAAGCATCATATTCAAAGGACATATGGTATTTGAGAGGAAGTTAGAAAGATCCATGTTTTAGGGTACATTTCAGTGTTTACGTATGAATTCACCTAATAGTCTATAACATGTACTTGATGTGTAAGGAATAGAGGTGATTTATGCGATTGGGTTCAGATCCGTAAAGTGTCAAAAGAAAAAATGGAGTCTTTCATTCACTTCACTCAAAATTCTCAAAACATGTTTTCTCAGGATTGTAGTAAATCGAAAAGTGATCGTCTTTCGTAATCAAGTTGATAAAACATTCTTATCACCACAGTAATTATTGGTCTGTATGTGTAGGTTTCTTCTATACTTTATGTTTTATTCTTGTTGAATATATATATATATATATATATCGCGAAACAATAAAGCATTAACCCGCGGTACATTTATTGTAGGCTTTCTAAAAGACACTAGATACAATTGTGTACTGAAAAGAGGTTGGCGTCATTTGATCATTTTGGGCTACATACAAAAATAGATATATATTGCTGTTATTATGTACAAATGCTTTGTATTGCATATATGCGATACTCGAATCGATTATTTAGAGGAATAGAATACCATAGGCATTGTGAATCAACATTGTGTTGCCATGGCATTCAAATTCAGCAGATTATATGTATATTTAGAGTAAAAATTTAAGTGGGTATATTTTTTTTATAACGGCAATCTGTTTACTTGAAATATCGTTTAATCTCAATTTAATTATGTAGTATAATTATCGTTGTCGAAATTATCGATTAACAGCTTTATAGATTAACTATGTGATGAATAAGAAAATGATTAAAATCATCAGATTAGTTTTTATGGAGAATTATTTATTTTAGCTAGTTGCTATTCTTGTGAACTGCAAAATCATCTTTTCAACTTTGTATTAGTTATGAAGATATATATAACGTGAGTTCGGTTGGATAAAAGTTACGGGTGTATTAAAGATTGGCATATGAGAACACTTGTTTATAATATCATCGACACGTATGAAGTTGGAGGATTTTATCATGAGCTGACATCATTTAGAGAAGAGTTGGAAAACCTGGGAGTGTGGTGAGAGCTGACTGCTAGCCAAATCGGTAGACATTAATTTACGCCAATGTTTATGTCGCAAATATTGGTCGTGAGGAAATATGAACACAACTGATTCAACAGCCAATCACAGCAGACTTTGCGTAGGCAGATACAGTTAAAATATAGATTACCTGACATTCAAGAAACAGTCACAAAGAGATGCAAGGTCAACTTTCTGTGAGAAACAACGAATCAGAAGACTGTGTTTGTTTGCTTGAATAAGCCATAATAATAATGTACATGAAAATATATATATAATATATATATATATATATATATATACGGGTTGATTTCCTTAGTAAACGATCTGTTGTCTGGCCCTTCTTCTTCTTTTTGGAAGTACTAAACAGCTGTTTCGTCAGTCTGGTTTAGGACTATTCAGCAGTACGCACCCACCGCCAGGGTTTGAACCCAAGACCTTCTGGCTACAAGGTTAGCGAGCTAATAGACCATTAAGCCACTGGTACCCCATCCATTGGCCAGCTCATGAATTCTAAGTTCTGCTAATTCATGTCATAGCGCGATCACTTCGCAATATATTCTTCCCTGAGTTACTGTTTCACCATCAAACCGCTATACCCTACTGGACCATTGGATCGGGTTTCAGTGGCTTAATGGTCTATTAGCTCGCTAACCTTGTAGCCAGAAGGTCTTGGGTTCAAACCCTGGCGGTTGGTGCGTATTGTTGCAGAGTCCAAAACTGGACCATCGGAACAGTTGTCCAGTACTCCCTGGTTTTCGAAGGTTCTATAACTGATATCAGCTCATTATGAAATCCTCCAACCAATGAAATAAAATCCCTACAAAATCAATACTCGAAAACGTATGAAATTCCTAATTTCGAGCCAATGAATAATTAGTCATCCTTATTAATGAAAATCCAAAAATAGTTTGGATTACCTACATTTCTAGAGGTTTCCCTTATTGAACTCGGTCTACTGCACACACATTATCTTCACTAGTATGAATAAAGTAAATTGTTGATATGAAAACAGGTCTTTGTATAATGTATAATGAATAATATTTCACTCAATTTTGATGCTTGTTTTTACCTTTTCAATTTATTCAGTGCATCTCCGTACTCATTCGGTGAAGGCGGCGTAACCACTGCAGTAAATACAATGAATAATCGTAAAGCACAGTATTCACGTAACAATAGAATAGAAAGAACAAAGTATGCAACAAGTCAACCACCGAGTGCTTCACCTGATATCAACACCATTACTGGGAATTCAATCAGTCCTAACATCAGTGTTGCAAGCAATCCAGCCGGTAGAAGTAATAAATTATACGTTAGTAGTTCACAGTCAATGAATGATTTGCTTAATGGAAGTAAACATGAAAGATTATTACCTACTTCAGAAAATAATCTAAAAAGTGTACATAATCAAAGTGAACAGAAACTACAAACAAAGGTACCTGGATGTACATGTTTGGAATTTTCTCAAGTTTTTATTTGAAAAACATATATTTGACTTAAATACTAATCATACTCATCAGGACTGTATTTTGCTTAGCAAGAGAGATAGTATAATCACATTCATCGGATGGTTGTCTCCTAGCTATTGAATAATTCTATGATTTAAATCATGAGTCTTTATGATTTCTAATGCAGACTAATTCACCGGAATAGTTGTTAGTCTAAAGCGTTTAACTTGTAAAGAGTGTTAAGCTGGGATTTACACTCCTTGAATAAAGTACTTTATGACTAACCCTAACCGTTTAGCTGACATGCTGTGCTATGCAAATGACTATATATATATGGTCGACACCGAGAACCCCTAGTATTATGCTACTCAAACACTAGTGTGTATTCTGTGTTAACTGTAGAGAGCAGTAATTTTTATTATCATCGTACGGGGTTGTGGGTATTTAAATCTAAAAGGTACTCAGCTTGATATTTAAATTACCGTTTCATAATTAACATAGGAAGTCTAAATGATACAGAACTTTCCGATGGGCGTCTATGGCGTCAAGTTGATGGTGTTGCAATGAGAAGCCCCTCAGGACCACTTTTTGCTGATTTATTCTTGTCAGGCCTAGAAGCCGGTATTTCGCAACAGCATATACAACAAATGGAACTATATCTAAGATATGTTGATGATATTTTTACTGTCTGTGAAAGAAAATCAAAAGCTGAAGACCCATTAACAAAATTCAACTCATGCCATCACATCAAAATACGAGGGAAACTCCTAGATGTTTCCCTGATAAAGGAGACTGATGGCACAATAGAAAGTCTTCATGGACAGGACAGCACATACCTTGTAAAAGTTTTGTTGCTTGTTTTAAATGTTTATCACCTTGAATAATTGAAAAGTAGTTGACAATATATGATAAACTATTTGGAAGACAGATTACCTAGACATCTGTTTTATTCTATTGCTTACCCACTGTACCGGAATCATTTAGAGTCATTTCTATTCAGATGAGATTATCATTAATAGAACACAAACTCGGCATATTAAAGGTGTCAAGAAATGCTCCATGCAAAATCACATAGTTTGTACGAGTGCTGGAATACTGTCTGTGCGCCCAAACCGAAGCAGTTGTTTGTCTTAAATGACCCAAACCTTTGACTTGAATTCCAATCTACAAGACGGTGGTAAAGCGTCAGGAGCTGTACTCTGTTGGTTCCCAATGATTGTAATAGGTTCATACACCAATTGATCCCTTCAGATTCTGTAGCCCATGTACATCATAGGTTTAGAATCAAGGTTTCTAGTTTTCCTAAGCGCCAGACGTTCTCATTCTCCTTTAGACTTTTGTGAGGAGCACCCTCGTCGCGTGAAGACAGTGAATAGCATTTATCTAGCAGAGGTTACAAACGCTTGGTCGCACAAGAGCATTTCAAGAGGAAGGCCGAAGTCTACCCACCTTCGGCCGTACCAGCTCGTTTATGAGGTAAGATGAGACGCCCTAACACGAACCATACTATTGAAGTGTATATGAACTAAGACTGAATTATATCATCTACAATCACTCAGTTATAGTCCCTTGCTGAAACGAAATGTAGAATTCTAGAAAACACATCTAACTCTGATATAGTAGTGACGTCATGAAATTCAACTAAATCAGTTGCAACTTCAGACGTATAAATATTTCAGAGAGTTTAGAAAATAATAATCAGAAAAGTAGTTACCATGCATTCCATTATCAAGTGAATTTCTACATATTTTTTTCTACAAGTTAATCAAATATGCAAACATAACTTAATATTTGATGCATATGTTAAATTTGTACGTGAGTGGTCCCGATATATCGCAGGAACGAAATCGGTGTGTCAATGTCCCATTGTTTGCAATAGTTTTCCAGATGATATATCGATTGATGACAATAACAATAGCATGTTCATCAATATCTGCTTATCTTCTTTTTACAGGTATCAGCGAATAAATTAATGCCACGTTCAAGTCCATCAGCTAAAGGCAGTTCTCCAATTTACCTAGATGGTATCAGTAGCAATAATCTGCTTATTAATGTTACTTTTCATGAAACTCACCTTCAACACGATGGTCGTGTGTCACCATTTCTTGCCAAAGTTGCATATTTAGGCGGACGGTCTCATGGTTCCAGTCATAATGATAATCATTATTTACAATCAAGACAAGCGCCAACTTCAGTGGACCTGGTAAGACATCATTTAAGAAAAACCCAACTGTTGGTCCATTTAGCTTAAAAGGTTGTATAAATTTATTTCTATTACGAGAGTAATTTACAGGAGCAACTGACACATTCAAGCTCCTCCATTTTGTAGCATTACTCACATGAAATCACTTATAATACCAAAAGTATGTCGAAGTAAAAATGAAGAAAGGTGGAAATAGAATAACGAAATGTTTATTTTTTATTTTTTTATTTATTTTTGATTACAGCTTGATTCCACACCGTATTTTTGGTACAAGTATGGAATTTTCAGCGTGGATATCGGTAGCCCAAAATTCGCAGGCCGACCATAGATATCAAGTGTGCGTCGGCGTGGGCTCGAACCTCGGACCATGTGCATGGTCGGCGAGAGTCCTAACCACTGTGCCACCGACGCACATCCTACGAGGAAAGATGTGTATGAGATAAAATACACAGTACAAGGATGTCTTCATTACATTTCCTGGCTTCATTAGAACACTGAATCCCACCCGGTAAAATCTAGTTGATATTAAGTCACTTTATTTTATACAACATCCATAAACGCAGTATTACTCGCCTAGTGAAGCTTCAGTCATTGGTTTTTTTTATTCCTTGGCGTCCCGAGTGGAAAACTGGTCTACAAACTTGGTTTTTCTAAGTTTCAGTAGCTTTGATATTGTTTTGTTTAAATGAAGTGGGTCGCTAGCCTTACGCTCAATCTTCCCTCTTTACTAGGCTTACTACCAGCTAGGCGAGGGTTAGGAGTGCGTCGGCCAGGAGTTGAACCCGGATCGCGTACATGGTTAGAAAGTATTCTACCATTTAACTGCTGACACACCCTCACTCAACTGGAACCACATTACATTATAATCTACCTTAGCAGTGAAGTTTCCCCACAACATTAGGATATAAGTCGTACATTTACATAAAAAGTTATCCAATTACATGGAAACATTGTAATTTTATATGACATTGTAAGCAATCGACAAAGGAGAAATATTATCCACCTTACTGATGGTTTCTTTAAACTATATTTGCCAACTGATCTTCCTGCGACTAGCTACAGATTAGTCAAATTCAATAATTTAAAATGGTTTCTAAGTTTTTCAATGCAGAATTAGTGATTACATTTGGAAATAGTTCAATAAGTGCTCCTCATTTGCAGGATGATATCTCTGTTTACTGATCAAGTTTCTCTCTACTCGAATTCGAATCTAAGAACGCAAATTGGCTGTGAAAAGACATGATATATGTTCTTTCATGTCACTGCACACGTAGATAGTTATTGACACAAATTTGATTCGGTTAATGTAGAAATTTTCAATCGAGGAAACACCAGAAGAGGATTTCTAGAAGCCTGGCACTCAAGTGAATCAGCGAATAGCAAACATATTAATATAGACCAAATTTACCAGCTAATAAAAAGTAAATCATGTGACAAGAAAGTTTAAATTCCAAGTCAATAAAAAATGGTCGGTACGGATGTAAATCGACTACCTGCACCAGTCATGAAGACGGTTGCCAGGAGATACAATGATATCATTCCTGGAGAATTCAAATGAATTTATTTTATACTAAAACCTGCGCTGAAGATGTTGTCCAGAAGGATGACGAAAGCTTCGCAATTATAGCAACCAGCTCAGAGAAAACAACTAATTCCAACTCAATACGTATCTTTTCCAGTAGTGATGAAAATGAATGGTACCTAAGCTTTAACTCACTAATCAGTTTTTTTAATTCAAATTGTAGGCAAGTAGAAACGTCTAACTAGACTAGGGGTGAAATTAATCGCATATATTTACTGCTACTTAATTTCACCTTCAAATTCACTTATCTTAAATCATCCGATTAATAATATTTTCGTGTGTTCTAAATCATTTCCGATGATTAGATGGGAAATTCAATTTCTTCTTACCCTTACTCTACAACTAACATGTGTTTAAACAAAATCCTTCAATTTACATTAAGCTTTCAAGTGCAAGCTTATGATTCTGTCCATTTTGTTGTCAAGATCCTATTTGATTTTATCTACTCACTTCACCGATATTCTATTCCAGGCAGTCGTCTAAAAAGAACACTGAAGAGAGAATCGGTAACTCTAAATTATAACAGCCCCAAACGAGACTACCTAATAAACACTTTGGCAAATTCCCATCGACCAGTCAGATGTATCCGTATTGGAAGTGCGCAATTTGAAAAAAAACGTTAATATATAAGTAATGCAGTGCTAAAAAGTAGTTGTATGAGATAACTTCCCTATATGTGTTTCAAGAAAACCTCCCAATTTCTCATAGGAGTCCTCATAGTTAGGTTAAACCACTTTCTGTGTGGGGATTCGTCGAGATAACTGTAAATCATCGTGTTGCTTGATTAATTCACCTCTCCGCTCTTCTTTTTTAGGTGACTCGAGAGACTTTTGATGGAATTTGTATGAGTCCCATCAAAAGAAATTGACGAAATCATCCTTATTACTGACCACATTATAAAAATAGCCCAGGGATGACAGCTGGATACACGTTTTCTCCCTTCCAGTGAACCTGTTGTCTAAGAAGTAGTACTTAAAACTAGATTTGGATGAAATTTGCCACGTAATTCGTGTACAGCATCCACAATTTCCTCCATACACTATGGACTCATCTGACGGGTTACTCAAGGTCATTAATCCGTTCATTAGGTGGTCTCGTTTTGGACTGCTGTTGTTTAGAGTCATCAGAGAATCTAATATTGTAGGCATGAAATACGATTAATCTAAAGATTTTGCCATTAACTTAAATTTGTGTTAGAGTTCCTGGAATTCAAGTGCCATTGTAATTCACTAAATGACTTCCTTGGTAAGATACGCATAATTCAAACTTTTGGGTGTAACGCTTATCACTGAACCGCTGGTTCAATATTTCTTTAATTAAGTGTTACTTTTTCTCTTTAATTCCTTCTAGTTAAACTCTCAATATTTTCTGCCTTTAAATTAGTCAATAACGAAGTAGTAAGGTATTAATTAGTGTTTCATAGATCCATGTTTATTTGGCAAAAGCATATTTTGTTATATTATGAAAACATTTCAGTATGAAAATCAGAATGGTTCACCCTTGAGTTTTCATCATTAACTTTATCAGTTGATACTTCTTCTCCTTGAAAAGTGCCTTTAAACCACTTGTTATTGTTTGTACATATTCATTATCCTCTTGTGAAATTTTGCTTTTACTCCTTACAGACAGTTTCTTCTACGGATACAGTTTCTGACGTATTGTTCAGAGCCCTAAGATCATTTGGTCGTACTGATCAAAGTGTTGACAATTATGATCTCATTCAAATTCGTAAAGATGAACGACGTAAGTAATCCTTGTTTTCTCTATATCTCCATATTTTTGGAAGAAGGAAAATAATTTTCAGGTGTTAGTTTCCAAGGTTTTGATTGGTTTCAAGTTTTATCGCGAATTGGTATCGGTTAGCGAAGTATTAGTGGCTGGCTACAAGACGACGTTTCCCGGAGTTCTAGTGAAAAGTCGTGACCAGTGGGGGGAGCGGGTTACACCAAGTCAGGTGTGGAGACAAATACACACCAGTGACACTTACTAGAAGCAGTGCTGAAAATCGGTGATCGATAGAAGTTAGAATTGATGCACTATTGGATTCGATCCCAGTGGTTTAATGGTCGAGTTTGACTCGTAACAAGAAGGTTCTTGGTTTGATCTCTGGTGAGGTAGGTTCGTTTATGCATACGATTAAAAAGTCCCAAGCTAGCCGCCCATTCTCATGACAAGTATATTATTTTAAAGTCCTATGCAAGATTGATATTTTAAACGGCTTGTGCTTAGTGGATAGACTGAGGTATATTGAACTGCTTATTGTTCTGTGTCCTGTTATTTTGCAAGAAAGATAGTCTGGGGAAAGATGCACGGTACAGACAGTAACGAAGTCTTAAGACGAAATTGTCTGCTACCTACACTCATATGCAATATCACTTAGCTGTTTCCTAAAGATATCTTTGCTACTCCATTTGTCCTAGTCGACCCCCGGAAAAAGTCCATCATCAAAATAGTTCACCCTCGTTCGCTACCTGAATTTTTGTGGAAGTGGTCAGAGAAAGCCAAACTCCATTAAATCGATCATAGGAAAATTGCATAATTTGGAATTCCGCAATATGTAGGCCATAGTATACAATCCGCTTAATATCGTAAAAATGAAAATCAAATGAAAAACAAAATATCAGGATAGTAGTGGTAAATCATTTATACCATACAGTATTTAATGTCGGCGGCACAGCTGTCTCAGTCGAGGCTGTGAAATTACATCGACTGAGATGGTTAGGATATGTGTTACGTATGCCTAGTCATCGCTTTCCTCGACGGTCAATTTCAGCTGATATAGGGTCAGGCTGGAAAAGAGCTAGCGAAGGTCAAACCAAAACATGGAACCAGTCAATGAAATCTACAAGAGTTAGTCTAAGCCACGCAGGAAGGTGTAGACTTCCTGACTGATCGGGGTCCTCGGGACGGTAAAAACCAGTGGTTTGAAACAATTGGTGATATGGCTCAAAATCGTTCTCAATGGCTGACGCAGATGCATCCACTCCTTGTGATTTATGATTTCCACTGAAACTATATTGTTATTCGTTATTCACACTTCTGTTTACTGTGTCTATTGTGCATTTCTTCTCTTTCTTTGTGTGCTACAAGGAGGGAATGTGGCGACTTGAACTGCCGCACATATGTGTAAAGTTCTATGTCGAAAACAGACAGACAGACACAGCTGACTTGCCGATCGTCTGAGGGAAACAACTCACCGCCGTTACATGCCTATTATTTAGCAGTAAGACTACGCCCAGAGATCCCTAACATGATCTAAATGATGGTAATAGCTTTTGATCTAACGGATATCCAAACAGTCTTTGTGTCATGATAGGACCTGCGAGAACATTAGTTCCAGTCAGTGAGGCCCGTCGGGCCACCACTTCAAGGTAGCAGCAGCTATCGGTAGCGAATTGATGATGATTACTTTCAAGCTATCAATTTGTAGCTACAGATTCCTCTCTCATTCTTAACAATCTAGTTTACTTCAATTCATAATTTTTTCTTTTGTTAAACTCTTGTTTTCATGTGTCTCTATAGATGTAGTCCTTCAAAAGAATGCCAACTTTTATGAATCCATACACTATCCTTCGTTGTATGCATCAAATAATACCAAATACCATAATCCACTGGAATTCATCATTTGTACATCACTTAATAATAATAATAATATGAGTCATAATAACAACAATAGTATAACTAATTCACCGTCAAATACACATCATGTTAAAAAGAATTACAATAATAATCCAAATCAACATAAAAAGAATCAACCAAATTCTGTATCACCTGAATGTGCTAGACACTATCAACTAACCAATAAAAGTTCAAATAAAAGATGTGTCGTTGAATTATGGTCCTAACTAACTAACTAACACTTGTTGCTCATTATCAGATGACGAACAAGCCAACAAATTAAACATATCTCAGTTGATTTTATCTATATATATTTTTTGTTTTACCTCTTGAAGAAAACTGTGTGATCAGCAAATTATCAAAGATTTATCAAAAATTGAATTTTTATTTATTTATTTTTCTTTTCTGAATATTTTGTAACCATTTGTCTTTCAAATTATGCATTTCATTCATATCTTTACCTCTTCTTCTGAATATTATCTCAGCTCATCATTATGTTCTACAATTTTATAATGTATTTCAATGATAATCACTGTGTGTTTGTATGTGTGAGTGGGCGAGTGAGTGCATGCGTATCATCAGTGATCAGTTTCCTAATGCCACTTTTTCTTATACATCATGAAGATGAAGAGCAAGGAATGCGAGATAGCGCCATTATTATCATTACTATTTTGTTTATACTATTTTCTATTTAAAGATCCAATATTCAAGGAAATCGTCTTTTCATTGGCTAATTTGTGTTGTTTTCTTAATTCATTGTTGCTTTTCTTTCATAATTTCTATTTGTATTTGTTTTTTTGTATAATTGTTGTTCTTTACTTACCAATTGAACCACCTACACCTGTACATGACTGTGATTTCTCGTCTTATCGTCTATTAATAGTTTGTCATTCCTGTTTATAAATCTATGAACTACCTTTTAAAGTTAATTTATACAACATTAATATTATAAAGATTTCTGAATATAATTTATAACTTTTGAATGGTTTTGTGAGCAATCGACAAGGATCTGTGAAACTAGAGTTCTATCAAAGGGGTTGCCTAGTTTGTGGCTGACAGTACAAAGCTCAGATATAGTCTATTTTACAGAATGATTTCAATGATCAAGTAAGGTCGTTATGTCAGTCAGTAGAGTGAATTGGTGGCCGACAATCATCTCTTCCTGAATAGCATTAACTTCAAACATGTGGCAAGACATTGCCTGACCTATTCATCTCCATCATCAGATCAATAATAGACCCAAATAGATCACGTAGAAGCTATAAACTATCTTGTCTGCTGGTGAATCTTCTAGACTGATGACCACATGGTTAGTACTGGGGAATAAACTGTGTGTTATTTGGCTACATCCTAGTGGCTAGTCAACGAATTTGTGTAACAAAAAAGATGTACTTACACGATAAACATGCATATACTTCCAATGTAGGCTTAAGGTGCATCACAGAAACTACATAGGCTAAGAGTGAAATTAGTCTTTAAGATTCCCTGTTCAAGACAAGTCAGTCAATAGAAGAGCCTAAATCGTTACATAGATAGGAATAGATCCTACTAATTGACCATACTTCGCATTTTTGAAAATCGAATGTCTCACTTATCCCTTACTCGATAGCCTATAACTTCTCATTCCTGCATGTAGCAAAATCTCTAAAATAATACTGAACACATTGATAGTAAGATTTACGTAGTGCAGAAAGTGATTATTGCGTCAAATTTTTTGGACAGCTTCGCCCCTTAATCACGGTTCAAGTTTCATATTTTTGTTCAACGGGACAATGAATACAAACCCTATCAACCTAGTCCCATTTCAACTTCTAAGTATACAAAACTTATAGTAATTCTTAAGTAGTAAGCCCCTAATATTTGGTCTTGGATAATATATTATTAACTTCACATAAGTGAGCTTAAAATTTAGTGTTATTAAACAGAATAGTTCGATAGACTTTCAAACCTACGCTGAATACAAATTAAGTTAAAATGTATATTAGCACGTGATACTTATTGATGATTGTTTTTTCAAGTTGTAAATAATGAGAATTATAAGTAAAATAACTGTTTTGATAGAAGCAGATATCAAAGTAGTTCTCATTATCACAAATAGGTTGAAGCTGGAAATTAACATAGTTGCATATTAACGTGTCCACTGAAAGAAGTGACCGTACTAATTAGTTCTGGGTGCTGCGTACTGGTGAGGAGTCCCAATCTAAAAGCAAAGTTTAAGTACTTCTTAATTTCCAGTGGTTTCCTCATTGATACAGATTCGCAGTGACAACTACTTGGACAGCTATCGATTCGTAAGAGACAAGTTGTTCTAGTCAACAGTAAGTACTTGGATTTGGATTTAGAAATAACAACAAATTAAGTGGAGAAATATCCTCCTTTTCAAATAGTTTCTCAACGGCTCCACATTAATTATAGTTTTATATCAAAATTTGTTATATAGATCATATTTTTCTCAACTGCCACATTTATCTTTACAGTTCAGTGCTGTTTGTATTCCCCCCCATTAATGACCTTGGAACTCTATTGGTCGTTGACTGTTTTAACTTATCAATGCACTTAGTGTCCCTCAAGGCCACTTAAAGCATGTATATATGCAACTGTTGATTCGAGACAGTAAAAGCTCTCCACATCAACAGTCTTCTTGTGTCATGGGTTCGGTAGTATCGTTGTTGTTGCTAATGCTGACAGTAGGCATGCATATCGACTAGGTAAGAAGTTCGTTAGCGCACACTAGTATATTCACGGTGACTTTAGTCGATAACAACTATCAGTTTCAAGATATATGAGGTGCGAAAATGATTGATTATGAAATAGTTAATTAGTAGGAGTAACAACAGACTTCGCCTCTTTCATGTGTATTTGCGAGTTTGACTGCTCCTGTAGAGCCAATTACATTGGGTGTACTACTAGACAAGTTTATCGTTGAATTTCTAAACACCACCCATCCTAGTTAGGCAATTGACAAAATTTTGTCTTATCCTTATAACTATCATGGGACACTGTTATTTTATTATGATTACTATTTTAGCCAGTCCAATTAACTTATTTATATTTTTGGCATTCTTAGATAATTCATGTACCAAATTCTTCTTTGTCCTCATTATTTTACAAACTAACTGTTATATAATGACTTGTTGCTAATCTCTACAAATTAACTGATCTTGAATTCCGTAATTATTTCCACTTGTCTACTAAGTTAACATTTCTATTTCTTGTTAAGTGATAATCTGTTGCTAACTTTCAGATTTTTCATATTCAGTTATGTCTCACCCCTTCGTATACCTCAAAACTAATAATTCTTATTGATTAACACATCACCACATAGTTTTGATGTAAAATTATATATACTAGGGTTGACGACCTAGTTAAAAAATAATGTATTTCTTTGCTCCATTTTTTTGTTTCCCACTATCTGATAGTACATAAAGGCGATAATTTTTGCTTGAAAGAATTTTCTCTGGAAACAGAACCAGTATTTTTAATGATGAACTTTATTTATTTTGTGAATCAATTATTTCTTAACTAAAGCCTTTAACTAAGCAGAATATGAAATGCTTTCAACGCTTTCCTGTTTTGTTGATGAAATGCTAAAAACTTACATAATATCTAGGCTAACATACTCCCCTTTTTTAAGTGTAGCCAACCAGTGAGTGATACCATAGAACTGTTACCGAGTAACAGGTACAAGATATCTACGATAGGAATGTTAAGTCAATCAGCGTAAAATCTGAAAGAAGCAACCTCCTTTAACTACCTACTTGGGAAGCATCGTTTCAACTACAGGCGGATGGAACTGACGAAGATATCAAAGCACGAGTCGGGAAAGCAAGGAAAGCTTTCATTAAGTCTGTGTGGAGGTCAACAGCACTCAGCATGAAAATGAAAATAAGATCCGGATTTTCAACTCTAATGTGAAGTCAGTGGTACTATACGGATCAGAGACTTGACACTGCGTCACGAAGGGCACTTCGAACAAACTACAAACCCTATTCAACAGCTATCATCGCTCAATACTCAAGATCAGATGGCTAGAACACATCGGCAACAGGGATGGGCCTCTGGGAGCGAACCAACGCAGCAGGAACCGATTGTGCGACAAATAAGCAAGAAGAAATGGAGGTGGATTGGCCATACTCTGAGAAAACCAACCATCAAGTGTTTTACATCACACGCCAGGCCATCGCTCGAGTGGAATCCGAATGGGAAGCGGCGAGTTGGTCGCCAGTGCGAGGGTGACATGGAGGTCATGTGAAGAGGAGATGAAAGGATGTGGGCAGACGTGGAGCCAGGTGAAAACGTTGGCAGAGAATCGAACGCAATGGAGACGTTTGGCTGAAGCTCTATGTTCCTCTAGGAGCTAAAGGAAACAAACAATAATATAATAAGTCTGTAAAAAACACCAACCTGAAATTATTTATTCAACTTCCAGTGTCAACATGGTTTAATTTGTCTCCATATTATTATTATTATATTCCTTTACGTCCCCAGTGAAACATAGGGATTCAAGCAAGAGGCTTGAAGTTTCGGTAGCAGTGGTGTTCATTTTTACGGGATGGTGTTGCTAGCCCAACCTTTCCTCTTTACCAGTCTTATTATTGGTTTAGCGAGGTGAAGGAGTGCGTCGGCAAAGGATCGAAACCCGAAGCACATGCGTGGTTGGTGGGCATTCTACCGCTGTGCCACCGACACAGACAAATAAACTACAACTCGAGCATAACCCATCGTGGCGACTCAATCAGAAGTTCTACACCAGACTAAGCTGTGGCCGGAAAAATTAGGACGAAGCCTTTGAACAGCAACCTGTGTTGATATACGGGTATATACGCCAGCAGGCGCTCGCTCATTCCACGACTTAAAGTGCATAGTGATAGATGGAAAACCGACCCTCGGACAGACGTGGCTGCAGGATGTCCTGCAGCAGCATGTCACAGCAGTATGCATGTCACATTAATTGACACAGTGGGCTGCACTCTTTATCGACTCACGATTCGAGTGATCCACCGCTGAAAGTACTGTATGAGCTATAAACTATGGGTACTGGTTTCGGGCCTTGGTGGGAACATCACCACTCACTGAGAAATGCAGGTACATCCAGATGACGAGTCCCAAATAGGACGAAATGCGCATCCTGGATTCCACTGCTAGTTACCATCCACTAGCTAAACAATCCCAAGTAAATGTAAAAGGTCCAGTTACATAGTCAACAGTTTTAGAATAGTATAGTTAGATCAACTCATCGTGAACTTAAGTTAAGAAAATAAAACGCATTATAAGCTAAGTATTAAAAATATATAATACAGGGATAACTTATATTGACAGCATTACAGTGGTATAATATTCAACAATGAAAAAAATAATAATCTCAAAACAACTATGTTGTATTGTTGGATTTGAAAAAAGAAGACAATGAGGCTTGTTTTACTGCCGGTTTGATGTTTGTATTCTTTTTGTTCGCCTGTTTAATCGGTTTCTGTAGCGTAGAAAAACAAATGTTAAAAAGAATAAAGTGGTTTGAACTTGCACAGCATTTGTAAATCATATTTAGTAGCAAGAAAGGTGAGTGAAGACCTAAATAATATCATCACAATGATTTTAGTTACTTATAAGTAGGATAAAATAATATTAGTAAATATAGTTTCCCGCAAAAATGGTGTTAAAACTAATGAGAATACAATTGGTTTCCAAACATTTCACATAAACGAAGGATGTGATTTTCCACATTGTTTCTACGTTGTATGTGTGTGTAAATAACACACTAGGACTTTAAGCATTTGACTAACCTAGCAACAAAACAATTTAAGGTGTAGTCACATGTGCTTCATATACACATAGGATACCAACAAGATCTTTTGCACGTAGAAGAGAGATACAATTTCTTAGTTTTCTGTAGTAATGGAATTCCGATTACACGAAAATATTCTTTGGAAAAGGATGTAATTTCAAAGAAATCGTTTCGGGGCATTTGTGACAAAACAATGAAGTACGATTGTAGCGGATAAAAATAGGCATACATTTCATTAAAAGTTATCATTGATGATTGTACAGATGTGGAAAGACTGATTTATGCATATCCTAAACCGTAGGCCCTCTTACTTTGCCGAGCCTTATCTAGTAAATAATGATGACTAAACGCATGTTTGTACAATGAAAATGGTGTTCCCCACCAGTTTGAAAACCGAAAATTACTCATCTTCTTTTAGGTGGTCTCTGAATCCCTAATCAAGACCTGTTGCTACTACAATGGATTTTGACTTATGACAAGTTCGAAATAAATATTAATCACGTGTCTAGTACACATAGTTTGGATATATGGTGATATATAAAGTCGGCAAGCTGGGAAAAATATGAATAAAATCTTCTTATCAGAAAATCTTTATTGCCGACAATGTAATTACGGACAGCCAAATTGATTATACTCTCCTTTCTCTCTTAGTTCATTTCAAACAGTATTACAATTCTAAATAGTGGGTCATGAGCAAATCGAATAGTTGGACAATGTATCCGGATGATCACATGGTATTACCATACCGTAAGCAACACTCACCATACGGTTTTTAATACAACCCTACATGTGAAATAGATTCAATATAAAATCGCGAAGTTAAAGTGTCAGAGTTTTATAGTGGGGTATATTCTTATCAGCCGTAGACTTTTCGAATGTTTAAAAGCCCACACATTAATTAATTATGATACCAATCAGAAAACCGAACAGAGAAATAGGAAAAACAAAAGAAGCAGTGCGATTTCCAACTTACATCTTGTTTGATAATAGGAGATGCAGTTAGTGAAGTGGAATTGTCAGTTTTCAACGGCAAATTCGGTTGACTTTTCTGGTCTTTGGCTGAATCAACGTTGGGCGTTGCTACTGGTTTGGAAGTCTCATCATCTGAAGCACTTTCCCAACCCTTCTCTGTAACTGTAGAATAAATTTTTAGAGAATAGAGTTGAAGTAGAATTTCGCTGGAAAATTCCAACTAGTAACGAAAAGCTGACAGATATTATCAACGCAAAGCCTGATGTCAAAGTATATTAGTCCTGACACAAGGGTAAGTAGCTAGTCTGAAAATGAATTAAAATTAGTCTGTGATAACGTTCTTTATCATTGTACGGACAGATAACCTATTGATTTTAACAGACTGAAAAGAAGTTAGTGAATTATGATTCACAGACAATGGGTCCCGAATGAAAAGTAAACATATGTTGAAACTAGATTCGTATGGAACTTAATTAAATAAATTCAACCCGAACGGGGAGCGGGGAGTTGGTCTTCAGTACGAGGGTCACATGTAGTAGGAGGTCATGTGAAGAGGGGATGAAAGCATATGGGAAGACATGGAGGTAGGTGGAAACGTTAGCAGAGAACCGAAGGCAATGGAGACGTGCAGCTGGAGCCCTCTGTTTCTCTAGGAACTAAAGGAAACACTAACATTATACAACAGATGGAACTATACCTAAGATATGTTCACGGTATTTTTATTGTCTGTGAAAGAAAATCAAAAGCTGAAGAACCATTGACAAAATTCAACTCATGACATCACATCAAAAAACGAAGAAAATTATACCAATAAATTCCTAGATGTTTCTCTGATCAAGGGGACTGATGGCACGGTGGAAAGTCTTCATGGGCACGACGGTACATACATTGTAAAAGTTTTGTTCCAACCCAATACAAAGAGGACTTAGTCAGAACACTGATCAACAGAGCGCACAAAATTTGTTCTGGCAGTACAATTGAACATGAAACCATCCAAAGAGTCCCAAAGAAATCTGTATACATCAATTTACCATTCAAAGGAGACGATGTACAAAAACTAGTCAGTCGAAGACTCGATGAAGCTAATGACAGGATTTATTATAGTGCAAAACTCATGTTCTTTATAATAATAAATAAGGGATAAAGAGACTTAATACATACAGGACGGAACGTATGATGTAATACAGTATTTGCGAATTCATAGATTTCATTGAACGTCAAATTGGTACTAGTGATTAGATTTGTTTCTTTTGTACAAATACCTCTGTTATTTGGAGTATTCGGTACCTAACGGCCTTAGCCAGTTTATTCGGTAAACAATAGAAGATAGAAAATGATTTTTCATTGGTAGTCTTATGGTGTGTTTAGACTAAATGTTTTATCATCGAATTGTTAATGCTTTTTATTAAACCTTTATTCAGCCACACCAGTAGATGTTCCCGGCGACGAAGGTGTTGATGCAAATGGTTCCACAGGAGCATTTGAATAGATAAATGCAAGAAGAGGTAACTAGCCCATGTACTTACTCTTTCAGATTAGATATCACAACCGGACGTTTAGAAATTATGAGTTGTAATTTACCGGATTTAGAAGTTCTTTGAATTGATTTTCTTAACTTATTGATTACGACTTTGCATAGCACGTCACTTCTAAATTGTAATCTTATGTAGAGTGTTTTCTTGTTCGGACTTTCGTAGTCATATATACCTTATTATAAAATTCATTTAAGGTATCGTATACGGTCTCTAACCTATCCGCCTTAATCACATCTTCCGCACTCACTCTATAGCTGAGGATCTTCATCAGATTCCTTTTGTACTGAAGAGGAACAAAGCTATGGAAATGTCTTGACCATGTGTTTTGCTTACATCACAATCTGACCTTGTGATAAGCATACTATGTATATATCTTCCTATACAACTGACTGCCTGACGGATAGCCATAACACTTATCCTAGCTATGCACCTCTTCAAGTTTTTACATTTTAAGAAGGCGCAGAAGTGAGGGGACAGTTAAAGATACTATGACAGACAAATATACATGGGACAGGACAGAGAAACTAATTTGAATAAAAACAACTAGAGCTTTCTGAAGCGTCAGTGGCACGGCGGTGGAAATGTCACCAACCACGCGTTTGATTTGGGGTTCGATCCCCGGCAGATGAACTTCTTTACCACTCTAAGCTGGTAATGCGTCGTTGGCGAGCATTCTACCGCTATGCCACCGACGCCCACATAGGTATGCCAAGGGCATGATATCTACAGATCACTTAACAATTCCCAGCGATTTGTATTAAAACATAAACGCTTAGAATTTCGTCTTAGCTAATTATATAAAAAGTTACACATTTGTATTGTGTAAGAATAGCGACAAAGACATAACCATCAAAGTGAAGAATTAATGTTTATCTAAAACATCTTACCCATAAAGCCATCTTCATCTGCAAATGTTTTCATTACTTGATGGCGAATACGATTTGGACGAGCTGCTTCAGTAGGCTTTTGTGAACTTTTCAAATTTACTTCAGGCTTATTCACCGAGTGTGATGGAACTTTCTCCACATCTATCTTTTTCATTTTCTTGGGTGATTTTTCTAGCTTTACAGACTCAACAATAAACGAATCTGTCTCCGAATCAGATACCAACACTTTACCTTTATCTAGGACCGAAAATATAAAAATTATTGGAAATCAACAACAAGAAATAAATGCTTCCTAGATCATAACAGGCATAAAAAGTATGATATTACTAATTTTAATGTGGACTTGCAATTGTATTTTCAAAAGATAGTCGGTCCTTCTAGAGCTGATACTTTCACATGGATTAAAACAGCCCTAGAAATATCAGCTTAAAGAGATATGTGGCTTTTTGGAGCATACTAACTTATAAACAAAATTCAAAACTAGAGACATCGTTATAGACAAAACATTTGCCCAAACTTGTATGCACAATTAAACGAAAATGGCTTTGATACTTCTCCGCTAATGACCATTACATATGGCCTTATGTCTAACGAAAGTGGAGTTATTACATTATTAGTGCTAGACATATATAATTGCAAATGAGTAATTGACCAGTTCCCGTGATTACAACTGCAGATAGATCACTGACAAAGAATAAAAATAGGTGGATAGAACCGTGACGCTACATACTATTGGTTGATTGATATGGTTAGTAGGATAACACTCACACCAGCCAGAAGTGCTTAATTTATTACCAGTTCGCACAAGTAGCCAGCCAGAATTCAAGTGATTTCGACTGATTTGCTTCTCTGATATGAGTGAAACCGGTACACCACTTTATGAGCTCGAACCGAAAGGAGTGAAACTTCAGTCTGGTTAGCGAACACTACTGGTTGATGTAAATAGCATACAACTACTCATATCAACCAACCAGTAGAATACAGAGCGATTCATTCATGTTTGCTTTCTCCACTGGCATTTACAGTACCAAGTAGATCACATATTGTGGAATGAATAATTTCGATTTCCAAGGGAAACTGTGGTAAAATTTCACCTTGAAGCATTTAAATTGAGAATTCGTTTTAACAGATAGAATCACCTAGAAGAAATAGCAAGGAATATAGAGAAGGAGCATTGTAGGACGTTTGGCTAGAAAATAGGCTATCATGTTAGAAAGCAGTGATGTAATGTAACGGTCAACATTTTCATACTTAAGAATAGTATGGAATGAAAAAATTCATTCAGTATACTGAAATGAATGAGAGTGAAATATACAGACGAGATATAAGTACGTGGAAGAGGAATAGGACCTTAGTCCTTTAAGGTAATATCGCAATCAATTGCATGCCTCAATGATTTTACTTTTTAGTTAAAGGATTATCGATCAGCAGCTCCTGCTACATCAGATCACTCCTTATAAAAAGGTTACGAAATTTTACACAAATAACGAAAGTAAATAATTCAACACATCAATACCTCTTTATATTTCACAATTTTACGAAAACCAACATACACCACTGACAGTATAACCGAGTGACATGCATTCACTAAGTATTTTGGCGTCGGTGGCACAGTGGTTAGGACTCTCGCCGACCATGCACATGGTCCGGGGTTCGAGCCCACGCCGACGCACACCTGATATCTATGGTCGGCCTGCGAAATTTGGGCTACCGATATCCACGCTGAAAATTCCACACTTGTCCCAAAAATACGGTGTGGAATCAAGCTGTAATCAAAAAAAATATATATATATATGTGGGAAATATCAAAGACATCAGTGACCATATATCTTAGAGTGTCGGATTTTGATGAACGAGTCTTACGATTGTACGTCAAGAAATACTACACTGATTACTTAAATAACGAATCCTTAAAGAGATAAAAGAAAATATTTTTTAGTATCACGCAATAATGCTTTGTTTGAGTTCAGTCACCCAGTTTGGATACTTCATGCGCCAGGTTATGGACTACATATATATTGCGTGATGACTGGAGATTAATAACCAGTTGTGCCCAGGCTGAGAAAGGTGGGTCCGGGTTCGAATCCAGCACCAACTTACCACTAATAAAATGCTAATGTCGATGACCTGTATCTCCACGACATAATACTGACTTACCCTTATTACTAGGATTTTGTTTTTTCTTTGTGGACTGATCATCACGTTGTGAATTAGCTTTTGAATTAACTGAGCCAGCATATTTACGATTCTCATTTTCCACATTTTCTTCCTCATCTTCGGATTCAATGACAACACGTTTTCGTTTCTGTGCTGAAACTATGCATAAATGTAAACAAAATGAATAATGAAAAGATTACGTGTATTTTTCGCACCAAACTCCTCCTCCTCATCTTCTTCTATGACTACAAGTTCTTTCGGTTTCTCGACTTTTACTGGTTTGGATATTCTAAAATTGCATAAATAGAGTGGATATAACAAGTGGAACAGAGGTTTACACTTCAATCTTGTTATTTGGCTTTACATCCTTTTGAACTGTGTTAACTACTGGAATTAAGTATACGATGATAATTAACTAACCTTGTTGAACAGGTTTCTCTGCTTTAGTGAAAAAGTTTTTGAAGTCCGATGTTTTAATTTTTTCATCACGTCCAGCTATATTTTTTTAGTAAAACAACAGTGCATCTTTAAATGACTTACTCGTAGAAAGTTTCGGAATTGTGGGGACACCAGATTTTGCTACAGCCTTTGGTATAATCTCCTGGGTGATTTCCTGGTTTTGACGACATGAAAATGGAGTACGAGAAGACTTAATACTTGGTTCCCACGGGATACTGATTATTCTGTTTTAAAAAAATTAATACATGGAGATAAATAAGCATGCGATCAGATTACATTTATTTACTTCATTTTAACAAACTAACCTTTTTAACTGACTTTCAGAGATATCATGCAACAAATTACAGCATGCTAATGACAAAGAATCCTGCGTCGTTGGTATTACGTAAAAAGATAGGTACCTTGCACTTTTGGCGTTGTATGCTATACACAACACGTTTTGGTGCAGATGAGAAAGACTTTTCAGCCAGTGAAAGTTGTTCTGAGTTGACAAGTTTTACTAAAATATCGCCTTGTGAACTGATTCCAGTTAACAGATAAACAGATGATAAGTTGTCACGGGCCTGAATGTATGAGGTCATAAGACTGAAAAAAAAAATACTTAGGACCAACAAAATATATTACCGTCTCGAATCATTTATATTTAAGTCGAAAGTGATTGACAACCAATTGGCAGTGACCTTTATAACAGAAAATTAACAATAGTCAGTCGATAAACATACAAATCCATTTTCATCCTCTAATTTTTCATCCAGATTTTCGAAAAGTAGTTGGTCCTCCATTGAATGAAGGGCAAAATGTTATGAGCTATGAAAAGATAGAAGACAAAAATCAATAAATACATTCATCATCAACTCAGAAAATCCCAATCATGAAGAAATCACTTATGGCATATATATATATATATATATATATATATCAAAGAACAACCAGCAGGAGGTTATGAATAAGCACCTATAAATGAAAAAAACTAAATGCACTATTCAGTTTGACCGGAGAAGATTTTGAATTTGCTGGACGAGGGATTTTAAACTGTGCAACTATTGCAAGTTTACTACTACTTATGTGTTTGAATACATTTACAGGAAGTAAACTTCAAATTTGACTGTATGGATGTAACATTTGTCTTATTTTTATTACAACTTTATGACAGACTTTTCAAAGTAGGACTTAGCACAAAAGGGCGTTAGCTCAAGTCGCCTGACTCAGAGCACAAATAAAGTAGAGAAAGAAAATGTAATGAGAAAAATATGCAGACTAGTAGGACGTTTTAGAGTCCGGATGACTAGTGGTAGTACGTATATTATCACAATTACTCTCCGCCAGTATATGCCTACAGGCATCTGGAATTAGCAAGAGAATTGCGGAAACTTGGTCATTTTAGTCAGAGATTCATTTAATAGATGAATGTGTGAATAGTGTAATGATTAAATGAACAGTGGAGCTTTTTAAGGTAAGGGAGATGACAATGAGAGAACATATCTGCACCACTGTGAACGATTTCAGGCCATTCTACCCAACTAGGGGTTCTCAGCGTCCTGAGTACTCTACACGTTTTTGCGTGACTCAGATCGATAGTCACAGACTTCCTCGACCCGACCGAAAGCTGCTACCTTGACGTAGTGGTCGGGCTTGAACACCGCAATGACCTAATCAAGCTATACTGGCTGAGACTTATGTCTCTTGAGGTTCTACCATGCCAGGCAGGTTGTTTGGATAGCGGTTAAACAAAAAGCAGCTACCCAATCCAACATCATGTCCAATACAAAATTACAAAATCTCATGCCGGATCGGCCGTGGCCCGGATTAACAACGACCGCGCTTCCTGCTGCCGTGTCACAGGGCGGGAGTGATAAATCTGCTACTGAGACACACCAAATAAAAAAGAACGAACAAAAACAGGCCACGTGTGACAGGCCTCAAGCAGTTGTCCCCTGGGCTCTGCGGTCACGCAACCAACTTCCACGGTGTGGGCAGCCGGGAAGTAACAATCGCCCTCACAATCCGAAATGCACATGAAACCTCTCTATTACTCACTCATCTTTGTCTTCATCATCATCTCTATCATCTTGCCTTCCTTCCACTGATGCAACTCCTCGACTTGATAGCTCTCCACTTCCTCTCCACTCTGCGTCCACTAAAAACGATGGAAGCCAAAAAACCACCACCGACAACCTCTTAAAGCCGCGCCACCAATTTCACATAGGAGCTCTTAATGTTAGGACACTTTGCCAAATAGGACAACAAGCATCACTAGCCAAGACCCTGGCGTCACGAGCCATTGATGTATGCTGTGTTTCAGAAACACGCATACAAGACCCAAGTGTGGTTATTCACCTAACCCCACCTAGCCAACAGTTTGAATCTGCAAAATTCACCCTGAGGGTGTCAGGAGATGCCACAGCTACTTCACGAGGATTAGCTGGCGTAGGGATAGCTTTGAGTACTAGGGCAGAAAAGACATTGCTTGACTGGATCCCGGTAGATAGCCGAATGTGTGCTGTCCGTCTGAACGGATCAGTAAGAAGGAGGAAGGACTGCACTACTCGCCGATGCCTTTTCGTAATCTCCGCCTACGCCCCCACTGACTGCAGTTCAGATGAAACGAAGGATGAGTTCTACCAAAAGCTGTCTAGTTTGGTGGAAAGGCTAAACGCTCAAACATAGTCGTTCTAGCTGGTGACTTTAATGCTCAAGTAGGGAAATTGTGTCAATCTGAGAAGGATGTCGGTGGCACCTATGGAGTTCCGTGCCAGCGAACCGACAACAGTGACCGTCTCCTACAGTTCTGTTCTGATAATCATTTGTTTCTTGCAAGCACTAACTTTAAACACAAGGAGAGACACTGTTTGACTTGGAGACCCCCTTCATCAAACCAACGCTGGACACAAATAGACCACATAGCAATAAGCTATCGTTGGCGTGGGTCGGTAGGAGATTGTCGCTCCTTCTGGAACACGTGCGTAGATACTGACCATGCACTGGTCCGCGCTCGGGTGTGCTTACGACTGAACGGACGTAGGAAACAGCTGGCGGTAAAACCATCACGTCCCCAGCTCGATCAGGAAACTAAATCCGTATTTCAGGAAGAACTAGCTAAGCACGTATCTGTGTTCGACAGCTGTGCTCACCCTGAAGAAGCTTGGAAAAATATCCAGGCAGCCATAGATACAGCTGTAAAAGCTGTGAATAAGGTAAACCCAAAGGTGAGTAAAAACCACTGGATCTCCACCGCCTCATCCGAACTGATAGATGCTAGAAGACTTATTCCGGCGAGCTCCGAATTCAATGAGGAAAAAAAAAAAGCGAAAGCTGGAGGCTTACGAAAACTCCGCAAGGACCGTGAACAGTGGTGGGCGACAAAAGCCAAAGAGATGGAGAAAGCTTTGAGGATAGGCAACACCAGGCAACTCTTTGGACTCATCAGGGAAACGGGTGGGAGAAGACAAATCATTAGTGAGACAATCTCGGAAAAAAATGGCACTATAATTAGCTCCCAGGATAGACGACTGGATCGTTGGAAAGAGCATTATGAGGAGCAGTTTAATTTGCCCACAGCCACGCTCAACCTTCCGAGCATCCAACACCTCCCTGAATGGGATATAAACACAGGTCCTCCGTCACTAACTGAGGTTACTAAAGCTGTCACCAATCTGAAACTAGGCAAAGCAGCGGGACCTGATGGAATGACGCCAGAGGTATTTAAGTACGGTGGAGACAGCTTACTGTCCGGATTAACTGAGGTACTAGGCAGCGTCTGGGAATCAGAAGAAGTCCCATCGGGTTGGTGTAAGTCACTGATTATCCCCATATACAAGAAGGGAGACAAGTCTTCCTGTGATAATCACAGAGGGATTAGCTTGACTAATATAGTATCTAAAGTCTTAGGCTCAATAATCATGCGTAGACTGAGTGGTGCTCGGGAAGCACAAACACGAGAGAGCCAGGCAGGCTTTAGACCAGGAAGAGGGTGTATTGATCATATCTTCACCCTCCGACAGATTCTAGAACATAGGCATTCCTACCGGCGTCCAACAGTCATTATATTTCTTGACCTAAAGGCAGCATTCGACTCTGTCGATCGGGAAGTTCTCTGGAGATGCTTGGCTGTAAAGGGAATTCCAAGAAAATATATTGCACTGATTAAGGCACTCTATTCGTACTCATACAGCCAGGTGAGGGCTTACGGCGAGCTGTCATCTGAACTGATGACGACCAGTGGTGTCCGTCAAGGATGCCCATTATCTCCTTTTCTATTCAACTTCATCATAGATGTGTTAATGGACTTAACCCTAGGTGACTTCAGCGACTCAGGGATTGACTTGCTACCAGGGAATAATCTCGTTGACTTGGAATATGCAGACGATATAGTCCTTCTAGGCGAAGACGCTGACGAAATGCAGAGTCTTCTAAACACCTTGAGCCGCAATCTACGAATGTTTGGCATGCGATTCGCTCCCGCCAAATGCAAGATGATGTTACAGGACTGGACTACATCGACGCCTAGTTTAAAAATAGGAAGTGAAGTGGTAGAGCACGTTGACCGCTTCACTTATTTGGGAAGTACCATCAGCCCCAACGGGCTGATCTCTGACGAAATCTCAGCACGAATACAAGGGGCTCGTTTCGCATTTGTTAGTTTACGCCGACTCTGGCGTAGACGAGATGTTCGACTATCGACCAAAGGGCGGGTGTACTGCTCATCAGTCCGCTCCGTCCTCCTTTATGGTTGTGAGACCTGGCCACTGAGAGTGGAAGACATGAAAAGACTAGCTGTCTTTGATCATAGGTGCCTGCGTTCTATTTCCCGTGTAAAGTGGCATAATAAGGTGAGCAACATGGAGGTTAGGCGTAGAGTTCTAGGTAAACAGGGGAAATCAATCGACGAAGTCGTGAAGCTACAAAGACTGAGATGGTTAGGACATGTGTTACGTATGCCAAGCCATCGCCTCCCTCGACGAGCAATGTTAGCGGATATAGGGTCAGGCTGGAAAAAAGCTAGCGGCGGTCAAACAAAAACTTGGCATCAGTCAATGAAATCCACAACAGTTGGTCTAAGCCACGTAGAAAGGTGTAGACTTCCAGGCTGGGGTCCTCGGGACGGTAAAAATCTATGGTTGGAAACAATTGGTGACATGGCTCAAAATCGTTCTCAGTGGCGCAGATGCATCCACTCCCTGTGACTTATGATCTTCAATGAAACTGTTTTGTATTTCTTTATTACTCCTTTGTCTCACACCTCTGCTCACTGTTTCTATTATGCTTTTCTTGTACTTTCTTCTCTTGCTTCGCGTGCTACACGGAATGTGGCGACTTGAACTTCCGCACATTTGTGCAAAGTTCTATGTCGAAAACAGACAGACAGAGACAGACAGACAGACTTCCTCGACTGATGTCATGCCTTTTTCCATTCATCTTTAACTCCTTTCCCACTTAGTCACGTTTCAGCTGACATCCTCGTATAGGGGGAGGTGACGCAGCAAGTCCTAGCCATCTCAATCTAAGCAGCTTCACAACTTCAACGACAAACTTCCACTACTTATCGAACAGTACGCGTAACCCCATGATGACAACTAACAAAAGACCGAACGCAGAAATTTATGGTCAGGAATGGCCAAGCATTTTATATCTTCCACGTTCAACGGTCACATCTCCGAAATGAGGCTGGAAGAAGCGTAAAGCTGGATTGTATACACGTCATTTGTAGGACAGCCAAACATCATGCTAATGTCGAAGACTGAGCAAGTGTAGATATATAAACGAAGCTTTTTGTATTGGTACTGAGATTTTGTTTTATGTCTGATGCGATTCTCCAGGTAGGCGAAGTAATCAAGACGTCTACCTAGTTCACTTTTCTAGGCATGACAGTCAAGAATCACCTTACATTTAACAGAGGTGAATAGCAAAACAAACGTACTGAGATTTTCGCAGTGTTCAGAAGATTCTGCATTTTTTCAACATTTTTACTTAGAAAGAGAACATCTAAGTACTATACAGCAACAAGACCTGTTTTAGTAGCAAGTAAATCTCTGAAGCATCAGAACCATAACGGTCATGTTCATCAACACATCTACAATGAAGTGGAATGAAAATGGTGATGACAATAATACATGTCACCTGAGATGACAACCACGTGGTAGTTTTACATGAGTTCGAGGAGAGTGCCTTGACTAGTACTGCCTGGTCTATAGATACAAGTTTCGGTCCCAGACATCTCCACAGCATCTCGCGATGGATGAATTCAAATGCCAATTTTAGGTTAATTACGGAAAGTGCGGGACCAAGTACTTTGTTTCATTTTAGATGGAAAACATTTTTTTGAAATTTCAGCTACAGCTGGAAAACCTACCCCTACATACTTTTCAGGCAGAATTTGGATAGTAGGTAACTATAGTGTAGCTGTAGGCCAGATGAACTGTTCCTGACCAACGTCTCATTTATCCCCTCATAAATAATTGGAATTCCATCCGTTTTAGGAATCATTTCACTTGCCGTAACTTTTAAAATTTGTTTCTTTAATAAGACTAAATAGATAAGAGGTGTTATGTACTACTGGTACATTCTCCATTTTTCGCTTTTGCCACCCATCTTTGCAGTCGGTGCGAAAAATTTTAGGCAGCTTATGTTTGAGTAAATTTTACCCCTCATCGTGTCCAGAACCTGTTCCGATAACGTCCTTGAACCAATTGGCCCAAATTAAGCCGCAGAAATCCATCGGCATTTTCTAACCTTTAGTTGAAGATTATCACCGGCAGTCACTGCTGTTTACAGAGCACACTGGATATGATGTCAAGATGAATATCATTGTGTCTAGTTAACTCCCTAAACAGAGGTTTAATGTTGTCATCCAGGAGCTGGACACATGAAGTCTTTACAGCTACTTATTTTCTACGTCCCTTAAGTCGTACGCACACAGGTGCACTCACTAGTGCGTGAACGGAGTCTACGAAGGTTTTCTTCATACGTAGACTCAAGCTTTCGACAACCCTGGCTGTATATGCAATATAGCTGTGGTCTATTTGTATCTAACCTTTGCTTGATGCTACGTTAGCCAAGTGCGATATGTGCACAACCACATAGCTATGTGGTAATTCTATTCTTATTTCTCATAATACAGTCCTAACAACGTCAGAATACTAACGTGAGGTGTGGAAACTCGAAATACCGAGCAGTGACCCTAGTTATCGCACTAAACGACTTCCACAACAATATACGTTATATAAAGAACTCACACGACCTAAAAAATTTTTATTCCACAAGTCCGAATTTCAGAGCTAAAAAAGACTGCACAACCGCCGTTACGCAGTGATACTGAAACCAATATCAGACTTACGACACACCTGCAGAAAAAATTTCTTTCGCATGGTGATATATTAGGGTGAACATGCGGAAAAACTCAGGTGCACTGAAAAATGCGGGACATAATACACAGAGTTCTCCAAATTATCTGTAGTACATCCAGGCTGTATCCCTATAGAGTGGACAGCATGCAGCTGACAAAAGCAGCCGGGACAAACAGCATAAAGATATTGGGCGCATACGAGGATGTGAGAATTATGAACTCGAAACCGCCAACGATTCTGCAGTGCGCCAAAAGTCAGCTCCGAGCAACAACCCATAAACAGCAAAGTGGTAAGTCATAGGTTTTTTTGAAAACATGAAGTGTGTAGTAAACATGGAGAGTCCACCTACGTCTTGTCTGGACCATATCTGCTCATAACTGCCCAAAAGCCTAACGTGTACATACGTCCATTCCCTCAGTTCCAATATCCAATATCCTGATTACGAGCTAGTATAAACCAGTGATTTCTTTGAGCTCGCTTCTTGATTGTGAGGTAGGGGTTCCAGTTGTAACAGTCTCAACCTCTTTCCACATACGGAAGAAAAGTTTATTAACGAATAACTCATTCTGTCATGTACTCAACCTCGTGATTACGAAAAGCTTTCCGACTGAGAAAGGGATCCCTTTCTCGATGTTGGAATTTAGGAAATTTGATGACAGGAATGACCTCAATCATAGAGAATAATTAACATATGCTGAAGTAATTAAAGATTATTTCAATGCTTACACTGAAAAGATAAGAGTAGCACTTCTTCCAAGACCAAATTACATATATCACCTGCTTAAAACGACCTTGAGTTCGTTCAACTGAAAATCCCGGTGGGTCTTTCAAGGTCATTCAATGACTGAATGGTAGTCAGATTTAGATTTGTTGATTGAGGATTAAAGGCTTGTAGCCCAAGTTAATCCTTTTATACTAAATTTCTGTGCTTGTCTGAACCCCTCTTGAGTGAATCAGTTGATGTTGCAGATACCACTTCTTCTGGGAGTCGGTTCCAGGAGTTTATGACTCGGTGGTTTGTCTTGGTTTTTGAACTCTCCTGCTATGTCCTACAAGGTGTCCCGACCTTTTGAGAGGAAAAAGAGAGAATAAGTCAGGTCCGAAGTCATTGGTAAATGTTCAAAACATTGGAGATAAATCTCTCTGCATACGGTATGGTGGGTAGAAGATATTGAAACTGTAGTTTTTCCTAGCATGATAAGTTGATCATGCCTAGAATCATACGTGTTGCCTTCCTTTGGAGCCTTTCTAGAATGTTTCAGTCCCCTTTAAGACAAGGACTGTCTGCCTGAATGTAGTTTTCTAGTCTTGACTTCACCAGAGATGTGTATAACGAGGTAAACATATCTCTGGTGATTCTAGTAAAGGCTCTGAGAATTGCCCATAAAAATTTAAAACGCGCGCAATAATGAGCTGTAGTTTTAAATCGTGACTGACTATGACACTTAAATTCAAATGAGTCTGAAGTGCTAGGAGTTTTTTTCCGCCTAGTTCATAGGAGCTGATGCTTGCGTGTCCGATAAACATTGTTGCACATTTCGCTACATTTATCGGGAGCATCCACCCTCTTGACCACTCTGAAGATTTGTTGAGGTCTTCTATCATAGTGAGCATATCAAAGCATATCATAACATTCAAGACGGTTTCAGTAATACAGGTGATTTCCTGTGTTCACTGAATAATATGAGCACCATTCCCTTGAGATCCGAGTGGAATGTAGGGGTTCAGCAACACATCTCCATTTCATGTTCCCTACCGCCATGTCTACGTTGTTCCAAGATTATCCATAATCTGTTATAAATTCCTAGCGCGGTCTCCCCCATGTCTCACCTGTGTACCCAACTCGTCGCCTATCAATCAGGTTTCACTTCAGGGCTTTACATAGGCTAAAATTATCCTGATTGCTGAAGAACATTGGGTGGGATTTGGGGTTAGTTTCCGTCCGTGTAAGTCGGCCAGGTCAGATTGCTGTTCACTAACCGTTCGTTCATGGTCTGACTTTTACTTTAATCCTACACCAGATGTATATATTCAGTAATGTTGCGTTTTTACTTCATTTCGGTTTCCGTAGCCGTTAAGATTATTTATTCCGTTCGTTTCGAAAACTTTTACCACCTGATCACTTCTTTTATTTCATTGTAATTGCTTCGTGCTTTGCTTTAATCCGTGGTTTCAGCGTTTCAGTTGTCTTTTAGCTCTTAGTGGAATTGTACAGTGTTGAACTTTTGGAAATTATGCACATATACATGTTTCGGTGACAGGAAATCCTGTTTCCAGCGTATTTGTTGGTTGCCATTATTGTTGCTGGCTAAAGTGGTTACTTAATGTATAAAAATCTAGAAAAAAAACATTTCTTTTATGTAAACAGAAACTTCAGAACAAATTTATCGACACTACTGATGATAAAGAACACTGAAGCGTAGGCACTGAGTGTACAATATCAGCGGAAATGGTATAACAGGTTGGCAATAATAGAGCTTACTAGATTAAGTTATCATAATGAATACAGTTCATGTGCATAATGCCATACAGTGAATTAACTTATTAAGTGAAACACTGATGCAAACAAAACGAACAATTACGTCCTCCACCGCATTTGCGACTATCATGAGAACCACCTACATCGGTTAGCCTGGCAGTCAGCTAGGTAGACCATGGAACATGAATAAAGTTGAGACGTTAATTTATACAGCGAATCCACATAACCCATAGAACACTGCAACAATCAGTAAAATTATATATTAAATCCACCTAGAGGTAACCTTTCAAATTACGATAGTTCTGGTTCAAACACGATGAGAAATTCATTTACATCATAACTTCTGTTCTCATAGGTTCTGTTAGCTTTTGAATGTGATTTCCATGTACTGATAGCATTCAGTTGTCAAACAGTGCTGTGGTTCACACGAAAACAGGCCGCACTGATATCCTATGACCCGAAGTTTTCATGGGATGATACCGTGCCAAAAACTGGGGCTTCTGTATAAAGTAGACTATTTGTGTAGATGACATCAGTCTCTAACTACCTCCTTTGCTCATAATAACAACATTTCAAAACAGTCCGCCTAGAGCATAAACCATAGCAACCAATAGGCTAAGAATGTACCGTAGCCAGATCACATGAAGCTACCATCAACATGACATGCCAGGAAGTGAGAGTTTTCATCAGTCCAGAGAACACATAACACATTTTTATCAAAAATTATTCGCAAAATATTTAACGAGCGAGATTTCAAACAACATGCCAGACAAGTCCAGCCCTTTACATGTGGTGTGTCACAACTGTCTTTTCACTGTACGTACAGTCTATCCCTATTTCTTTTCTCGATAATCGGTAAACAGCTAGTTCGTTGCCAGAGTTCCTCGTTGATTATGATTATTCGCCGGAGTTTGGTGGCATCTGTTTACGAAAGTCTTCGGTGTGTTGGAAATATTTCTCATTACGAAAATTGTCTGAACAATGTAGAAAAACTGGATTGATGTTATTGTTGAAAGTGCTAATAGCTTTCAATCTACATCATTGTTTCAGATCATTGAAATCCCATGCTTCTATGACCATAGCTTTTTCATCTTCATTACTGACGTATTTCGTTTGAAATGACGCCTCCCAAGTAGGCCTAAGGGACGACTTCTTCGGGTGATTACTATTTTCAGCTCTCTATAGAAGTTTCCTCTCTTTTCCACCGGGTGTGTTATTTATATTGCGTAGCATCGGGCAGTTGTAAATTTCATTCCTTTTGAGTTGAAACTTCCTGTCATAATCCACCGCGTAAGAGCCTTTGATGCTATCGGTGACACAACTATTGCCACATCCTCAGTGTGCTGATGATATTTATACTGATAACTTGAGTAGATTATCAACTATCAAGCTAATAGTTGAGTAACTATCTTCCATTCTATCTTCTATCGCGAATTTCTGGCACCATGTATTCAAACAAAACTGTCATGGTAACAACATTTTTGTTTTGAATTGAGTTCTTTTTATTTTGATGACTTAATTTTGTTTCTCTGCCTGTTCTTTAATTGCTTAGAATTCTTGTATTCATTCAGAACTCTCACGTAATTTCGTATTATCTACTTTGTTTCTACTTGCATCCTGAGTAGAACTCACTCATCAAACTGTTCATATTATTACATAACTTCTTTTAACAACTGTTTGTGACAACTCATTACCTTTGTTACTACCCTAATTTCATTAACGCCTAATTTTCTTGAATTGTATTACTAACCTTCACCTGTTTAGTTAAAATAACCATAAATAATTGTAATTTAAGAGGTGGCTGGATTCCTGGAAAAGAAAACTAGGACAGTTACCTATCATTGAAAGCTGGAAGGGTTGTTTTGGTCAAGACATGTAATTTAAGCAGATTTTAATGGTATCCGCAAGTGACTTCGGGAAAGTCTTGGTGTCATAAAAATACGCCCGGAACTATATTCAGAACTCCAGCTGAATTATAATCTGAGGTACTAGAAAGGTCGCAAAGAGTACGACGACACACTAGTTATCCTCAAGTTATCTTCAAACGAAGCCTTATCGGAGAAAGAGGTTGTCCGTAACCTGCATTAATGGTAGCACCATTTGTACGTACTGACTCTCAGCAACAAAATTTCCACCCAAAGCATTAATCTACTGGCCAATTTCTTGGTCATAATAGGTTATCTTACACTATTATTATTATTGATATATATGTATATATATATATATCAATTTCAAATTTCACCAGCTGTCAAATTTCGCCTTTTCTTATTTTTAGTCTACATAACCTGTATTAATTATTATTATCTCTTCTTTTCAACGATACTGGTTGATTAATAAGCTAAAGGACCATCTCCATTCCCAGCGGTAACACAGTTTTAACACACCACATACCACAGACTGCATACAATGAATCTCAGCAACGCTCCTTTTAAAGTCAACCAAAGCTGTGACAATCGAGTGGCAGGACGAACTATACAAAAGCTTACCGCAGACCAGGAACCCTTAACTCACAACAAGGAAGTGACAACAAAGAAATTAAATTGATTTACACTAGCTGGTATAGAACAATACTGGATTCCTTTTTTCCCGGAGTGAGCAGTCATCTGTTGAAGTACTAGTTACAGTAAACCCAAATCTAATACCATCCCAGTCCCACATCCTTGAAAGACCAAAAGCAAGCAAATAAAAAACTAAAGTTATATAGGATTGCAGATCCTAATATAAGGCAGATTCCTTACTCTCTTGTCAGTACATGGGAGCACCAGTAAACTACTGCGTCAGTCAGAGGGACTTTGAGTAATAAGTTATAGATTACCGAAGATATCACAGCTTTTATGATGTTACCTGTGTGAAATCATCACACCAACATATTACGCATACCCAGAATGAAAAACTCATTATCAAGTAAAAAGGCGAATACCTACTAGTTTAAGCGTCCGTAAATTTTGTTAAGGGTAAAACACATCTTCAAGGGTTGGTTTATAAGGATTAGACCTGTTTTTACGAGTTTGACCACTGACCGATATCAGTCAGAGAACCACTGAAAATCAGGGAGTACTGGACAGCTGCCTCATCCTAGTTTTGGAATCGTCAGCAATACACACCCACTGGGATTCGAATCCAGGACCTTCCGGTTACAGGGCAAGCTCGAATACTATTCAGCCACTGGGACCTGAATCAATGGCCCATGATGTCCCGCCAATGAAACTGGTAGGTGGTCACGCAAATCACGAATTCGTAGACGTTAGAATCCATGGGCCGGCCATTCAGT